AGTTTGCTGTATGTACTACGCTACCCAGAGTATACAAAGAACTTTTAGTGACAGCGTGGAACTACATATGTCGTAACTTAGATTTTCTACCGAAAGTGACTTTGGTCGAAACTCCGAAATTCGGTGCTACGATTTAATATGAATTTTTTTGTTCGAGTAACATGGAGTTTGTCGGAATTTAGCGTCCTGGGTCACGGCACACTTGCGCACTTTCTTGCAATTTTTTCTTGCAGTCTAATCTCCAGCCTCACCACATTGCGGAAAACAGAACGCAAGACATCATGGGAAGAGTGCAGACTATCCTTCCAACCAACCTCGTTCCCAGGTTCCTCTCCTACTCATTCTCCCGGCAGATGAGTAGGACAGGACCTTGGGAACGAGATTGCACACTCGCCTTGTATTTAAGAAAACAAAGACATAAATAGTCGACTGTATGATACAAACAAGATGTACTTGCTTTTATTTAACTCTCTTTTAACCGTTGACTCTGTGCACCTGGAGAAAACATGGACCTCCTCAGAAGAAATATGGGATTAATATATAATGAGTTACACACAGTACTGAATTGTGGTGATTATTTTTATTGCAACTGTTGATTGACACATGTCATGAACAAATTACTGTGAGAAATGTGGCTATTTATTGTATTTGGGGCGAGCAAAGCTCTGCCGCGCCGATCTCAATAGTGGAGCGTCACATATCGGAATGGTTGTGTACCATACTTTGGTGCAGTGTGATCAGCCGCTCCAACACGATGTTCGATGTGTGTAAACGACTTTCTCCATTCCCAGACCGTTGCTGTTCAAACTATACTGGATAGATTTTCGTTTTGGCACGAAAAGCTATCCGGTATAGTATAGTGAAATGTAGGTTGTCCCCTTTGGTAAAAATTCGACCACCCTGAAACTGGCAGATTTCAGATTTTGACCCAAAATCATAGGACGGTGAACCCCTTTGGAAAGTACAAGATGACTGCCAGCTGAAATCAAAAATTTGATAAATGATCTAGGTGGCCTTGTCACCGCCTCAAAATGTCATCGAGCACCATTTTCTTGCATTGTTGTGAAAATATACACAAAATGGAGGAAATTTCACATTTTGACAAGAAAGTGGACACTTGTTGCCAACAAGGCAACCGAGCTAAGAAGCAAGGTTGACTCGGTGGCAAATTATAACGCCGCGCAATGTAGGCAAAAACTCTCAAATTCTGCGTAACCCTCTAAAATTTGCATTTTTGACCATATTTGGGTGTAAGTAAGACCCCATATTTGGGTAGTGACGTCATGGTCTTGTATTTACAACTCGTGGTCCGACATTGGGTGATTCAGTGTGCAGCTATTCGTTGTTTGTTCAAGAGGACCTAACAGGTGAGCAAGCTTTAATACGATTTCTAGTTTGAAAGGGCAATAAGTGCTCTAGTTTTCTTTATAAATTGCGTTTATAGCAGCAGCTTTAAATTTTGCGGACCTTTTATTTTAAAATTTATTCGAGAGATTTTGTCAACCAGCATGTTTTTTTGCTGCTCGATTTACATTGAGACAGCCCAAAACTCCCGTGAGGAATGCAACGAATTTGCGGACCTTTTTGTTTTGGAGACTATCATTATGCCTTTCAAGAGACTCTTTGTCCTGTGACACTCGCTCATTATTGTATTTTATTCAAGTCTATATTTTTATACCTCTGATACATTCCGCCCCATTCTTGCGCAATTGTTTCTTACGTATATTACCACGCGAAACATTTTTCTTATCCCTGATGACGCTGTTGCTCGGAAGTTAATTATATTTTACAATTTCAGCAGTCAAAGGCCTCATTTGAACTCTTTTTCTTTCTAACGTTTATAGTTTTGATGCAATTGAATTTTCCATGAAACATAAGTACTAAAATATAACTTGCTCATATTTACTAACAAAGCGTCAAGCCATGTTGTTATTGTTTAATAATTAAAAAGTGAAAGCCTAAAGATACGATGTGCCAAAGTTGTTGTTTTGAAGTTGGGCGCCATCCTTTTCCGATAGCGGAATCCATTTTAAACCTCTAAAATTATGAAAAAAAAATATCGCGAAGATCTGAATAGGCACATTTCCCAAAAGATAAACGAATTCGCCTCGTTGGCACTTGCCGGAAGGTACCCCTAGTTATCTTGCTAAGAGCTTTATTAGATTGCAAAGCTTGCAACTACTTACGGCAATGTCCTAAATACATATCACGCGGTTACATAATTGATGACGCGATACATGCGTTGTTGCTAAATATAACCTTATTATACTACTACATGAGAAATTTCTGCAATTTGATTGGCTTAGAGCAGTGGTATTTCAGCTTAATTTGAAATACCTACATGTGAAAATTACAAAACTTTTGTAGTATAAACAAATATCAGCATGATTTGTACGTGGTATTTCTGCCAAATATCACTACAAATCATGCTATAACCTATACAAACACATGCTATTACCTATACAGATACAAAAGACCCAAAATAAAATAGAACTGAAAAAAAAAATTCGAATAGAAATGGTTTGGTTTTGAAACTGATTAGCATATTTGTATTTTTATCTTTTATTTATTTTCTCCATTTATTTTATTTTACAAGCCATTTTTATTATATTACAGGTTTGAAGATATTATTCTTAAGATTTAAATTACAAGAATAAATGGAGGAGGGCAAGATATAGTAAAATTACATACCCTTTGATTAAATTACAGTTTTATTTAGGATAAAAGAGAAAAAAATTAAAGGTATCTTAGGTAAAATCCGCAAAACCCCAAAGTTTCTTTTGTGCTACGAGACTGACGACTGATCTTCTCTTAACCCATTCGCCCCTGAGCCGCCCGTGCAGATTTACCTCCTATCTACCGCTTTTGACGTCATCAGTTTTAATGGTCAAGGACAGCGTTGTCCGCTAACTTGTGCAAAGTGAAGAGGTCTTTCAAACCATACCAGAATGAGCACAATTCAGTCAAGGAAACCGAACAAAAGGCCAAAAACCATGTAACATTGACCTGAAAATTTCCTGGAAAATCTTGTTACACTACTCACCTACCTTTCCTTTCATCTGATCCTAAGATCATAAAAGCTTTCCTAAAAACTTTTCCCACCAAGATGAAGCCTACTAAATGCTTAGCAAGAAAAAAAAAAAATGAGGCAAGAAAAGCGAAAAAAGAGGGGAGGCGAGAAAGAGAAAAGTCAAAGTCAAGACTGCTGTGTCACTTTTAAACCCAAAAACGTGATCTCCAAATTTTGCTTTCTGCGCATGCCCGAACTTCGCAAGCTAATATTTTCCTTATATTTTGCATCTGGATCAGAACGCCGCAAAGTGTATGACCGGTAAACGGCTTTACGGTAAATTTTAGCTCTTAACAGCAGGCAGTCACGAGAAAACCGCTTGACTACTGTAGCTTCAAAACGCATTTATCGGCAGTCTCCAGGTAACGAATGACTCAAGTAGATTAAGGCCTGGTTCTAAATCATTTGTGATTTTTATGCAAATTTACCAAAAACCATTGTTAAAGACATCTTCTAGGAATAATAGATGGTAAGGTAAACTAACCTTAAAAAACATACATATACATATACTTTATTTATGCTCCAAATTTACAGAGTAGCTGTAGAGCTAAAATGTTCGAGAAAATAAGTTGAAATAAAATGTGCTATATTACAATTCCAATATTATTTATAAACTATATACAACATTATACATGCAGAGGGAAATATGACTTGTAGATCTACTGTGGAAAAGCTTCATATCTGAGGATCTCCTTCTTGAATTCTAGAAAATTTAACGTTTTGTAAGTGTCTGGGAGAGAGGTCCATATTTTGCTAGCTAAGTATGAAAAAGAGTGCAGACCGTAAGCTGCGTAAGTCGTTGTTTTTGGGTTGGGAAGGGCCAGGATATGATTTCCGCGCAAATTGCAGGATGAAGACCGTACGGTGAACACATCTTTTAAATAACCTGGATAGTTCGTAAAGAACAGATTCTTATATAATGTAATCATGAAGTTCTGGAGGCGTCTAATGAATAGAGATTTTAGTTAACTTTGCTTATTAAAATGTCATATGGAGAGCTGTAGTCCTGTAGTATAAACCTAAGAATGCGCTTATTTAGATTCTCTACTTTGTCGGCATTGCGCGCACCACAGAAATGCCAAACAGAAGAACAGTAGTAAAAATGCGGCAAAATAAAGGCTTTATAAAGCTTCAATAGCCTCTCCTTATTAATAAGCTTCCGAAATCTAAGCATTACGTTAAATTGATTATTTATTTCCTTACAGATAACTGATCCGTAGTTATCAAAAAAGAGCCTATTATCTATTGTCATTCCAAATATATCTGTTGAGTTATTTACTGGGAAACAAAAATTGTGCTCAGTTTTTCCCAGGATTAGAGCTTGGTGCTTTTTCTCGTTAACAATCATGTGATTGTTTTTATTCCACTGATTTGCGACATTAACTTCTTGACAAAGGAAATTTATTTCTGAAAGAAATGAATGGTTTTATGCTTAATATGACTGATTAATGTGTCATTTCTCCAGCTACTAGGGAGGGGGCGTTCCTGCCATCCGGGACATTAGATATGTGTTTTTATGACATGAGAGCGAGGCACAAGGCCTCTCTGCTCACTGCAACAAGAAAGTTGGAAAACATTTTTCCCTCCCTTCCCTCCCGTTTTGCTCCACTTTCATCTCCCGGATGGCGGGTGTGCCCTCACCTTTGCTGGGATAAATCTTCTTGTGTATCTGGACTTTCCTATCTTGATATGCTTAAATGAAATAAACGGCCACTCTTGTGGCCAAATTTATCCCTGACTGGAATTGTCATTATTGGGTATCCCAGCAAACAGAGCTCACCCAAAGCAAGACTCCACCAGCAGCAATAACAGACTCAATAATACTATCTAAAGGAACATGGAGCATAAATGCACTCTTCCAGTGCGAGTGGGTCAAGGTTAGACGATTAAATCTGATGGTCGTCTGCGTATGCGTTTAGTTTTGCATATTTCACATGCTGACACAGTCTGTTGAATCTTGTCTCCAGTTAGCAGTAACCTGTATGTTCCTGAGAAGGGGTTTCCACATGGTGTATTTCGCAGCCTTTTTCACCTTAGGCCAACAGTTAACGTCGTTGTACAGGTTCTTGGTCGGGTTTACTGGGTCAATTATATATGGCCCACACAGAATACTGAAATGCCCAAAAAAGGAAATATACCATAAATATTAAATATTCTACAATCAAGAAAACAGAATATTTGGAAAAAAAATTAACAGTGCGTTTTTCGAATTTCTTCATTCCAGGGGCATTCCTAGCAGATTTGTCAACTGGTACTTGTCAACTAGTAAAAATAGCATAAAAAAGCACCCAAAAAGTAACGTTTCTCATGAGGGTGTGTACACATCATGCGAGATAGTCTCCCGTCCAGTCTCCCGTGTAGCCTGAGAAAACAGCCATCATTTGGCGACGCCACCACTGGTTTCCCCGTGAAAAGAAGTCTGAAAAACGAGTACAGAAATACTATTCTGATGACGTGTCGTTACCCAGATCTGGGTAGTGCTTCTTACTGGTCCTGCCGCGTAGGAAATTTTCTTCAACCAGTCAGAAGCAATACCCAGATCTGGGTAGTGACACGTCATCAGCATGGAATTTCTACGCTTGTTTCTCAGACGTCATTTCGCTGGGAAACCAGTGTTGGGGTCGCGAAATGTCGGCTGTTTTCTCAGGCTAGTTTTCCACACAGCCGATTTTTCCTCGTCACGCGAGATTAAAACACCTGCGTGGGAGACTGCATCCCGAGATGGCCTGTGTCCTCGAGAGTGTAAAATACGGCTCCTTTAATCCTGGGAAAACTAGTTTAAACGCCTCATGAATGTACCTGCTTGGAATTAAATCCCTTTTGAAGTATCGATCCCAAGAAACGTGAAGACTTCGGTTATTCTGTAGAACCTCCATAACCGCTTTAAAACCAATCCTCATGTCAAATTCCTCTGGACGATTTGCATTTTCCCAGGCGTGTATTGTGAGAAGCTCAAGTAAAAAATAGGGCAGGAGGTGCTCACCACCAGTCTGTGAAATGAACGTCTTGTGCCAGTACTTCACCAATCGAATCAGGTCTTTTACGTTTGCGGGTAGCTCTCTGACGAAGTCTGTTTGTATCTTCACAAGAGCAGCAGAGTAGTAAGGCCAGTTCTCTTTAGTATCGCTAAGCATTTCTTTGTAAAACTTTTCTCCTTTTAAGACAAAGAATATTTATTTTTTTCTTAGATTTAACGTCATAAACTGAGTATTTTTACAAAAAGCTAATGAACCGTTTTTCTCACGATTTTGTATATCTGTTGCACTTCCCAGCGTTGGGGAATACACATTGAAATTTGCAAGAAATAAACGCGACACCGGTAGAAACTAAACAGACCGAAAAAAAAAACGTGGTGAAACAGCAAAAATATGCGAGCGAAGCAAGCCGAATGGACCAAGGCTAACACGGTCACCATCTTGTGGGAACGAGGGACCCTGGTGAGAAGACATCATTTTTTAGGAATTTTACTTGGAGCGACGATGAGGTCTTTATTTAAAAGAGCTTTGAGCATATTACTAAGCTTATTTAAGAAATTTCGGGGAAACAAAATTTCAAGAAGTTCAAGATGTTAAACGGCGAGTGTCACTACCCATGAAGGCAATGTTGCAACCCTTGTGCTTTAATAAGTACATACCATTGTGACCTTCTACGTTTGCTTCAAATGTTGGCAAGAGATCAACCTGAATGGTTTCTTTAGGGTGGGAAAAACGTGATACGTTAAACTGCAACGAAAACGGCGTTTCCTTTTCGAAAGTTAGTTTCCATTTGAGATCTATACGGCTCCCCAAACGGTTTTCTAGGTCACACAGGACGTCGGGTAGTTTTGCTCGTAACTGGGAAGCGTCTTTAATGTTCTTCGTGACCATCACGCAATCCAGGTCGGAGTTGTTTTTTAATGCAGTGCCTTTTGCAATGGATCCACCCTACAAATACAAGGCAGGCAAGTAGAGTCTAATCATAGCATTTTTTATCACTTTCTTCCTATATATATATAGTATATATTTACCATGAGCCGCGACCCTGGTTGCACTCAGCGCAAAGTATCGGATTCGCTAAACGAAACTCTTAGAGGTAAAAATCAGCGTTGGTATTGAGGCTAGCATTCATAAACCTGCGTTTCAAATTTTACGAATTCTTAGTATCTTTCTCTGTATTAAAAAACCATTACCTTTAGTATTTTTAAGAATAATTCTGCTGGCTGGTTATTGTGCCACGCCCTTTTTAAAGACATCCAGTATCTTGTGAAAAATCAGCATGTTACGAGCGTGGGACAAAGAGAAAATCTGAGTCCCCGACAGGATTCGAACCTATGATCTCCCAAACACCGGGCGGACGTTCTATCCACTTGAGCTACGGAGAACTCATGGATAGCGAGGCCATATACTAGGTTCATATTTTTTTCCCAGTATCTTCTAGGGAAGGAAACCAAGTCTAGGGACGACATTATCAACGATACTATTAACCCAGCGTCTTTCTCAAGTTGGAGGGTGGGGAAGTGTTTCATCACTAACCTCGATGAAGTCATGAATCCCATAGAATGTATTCGGCAAGACTCTTCGTAATTTTTTGTACAAGGAGTCAATAGCTTTATCATAAAGACGATCAAATCCTTTATCTGGCTGCAGCTCATCATGTATGAATATCTCAACTTCCCGGCTGGAACAAGCTCGATCAAAGAGTCCTTTCTCTTCCCTCGGGAAAGAAAAGCTGGAACTTTTCGGGGTTTCAGTGGTAACTCCTGAAACACGAAAATTAAGCCATTGTTAAAATAAACTGTAGTTTTTATGGGGCAACTGGACCACCAAATGCATCGTAAATTTTCTAGTGTGTTTGCACAACATTACACTATGACAAGAATTTTCAAAAGAATACAGGGTAGACCATAGCTTGCAAACCAAAAACTACAACTTAAGCGCCAAATTAATGATGTAAATCTAGTTACTTAACAATTATTCCTCGAGCCCGAATGGGCTCTGAGTCAATAGCCCATGAGGCCATGAGGACGAGAGGAATATTATTGTTTTAGTGAAATCCAACTAGTTGGTCAAAAATATCGAGAAGGAAAAAAATTTAGCTAGTTAAAGCTAGACTTTAATCCTTTTTTGCCGCCAAAAAGCCCGTGCTTTTCGCTACTAGGAGGCTATAACATATAGCCTAGTAGTAGCTCAACCAATCAGAATGCAACATTGATAATAGACCACTAGTTGGATTTTACTAATAATAGATAGTCATTAAATTCAAATTTCGTAAGAAAATTATGGCCCCTGTGGAGTGGCGCGAAAACTGTGTTACGAAGCAGACAAAGTGAAACTTGTCAAACTTCAAGCCAATCCTTTTCGTATCATTCCGTACCTAAATATTCTGCATTACAATTTTTGTGAAACTGCTTTTCCACATCGACCACTAATTTCCCCACCTGGTCTGATCTCCAACCAGTTTACTTTATTCGGTATGTAAAGGTTTTCAATGCTTCCTTGCTTATAATTGCTCTCAGTTTTAAGTTCTTATTCATCCAGTGGGATTTTAAAGGTTTCAACTGACACAAGGCATTTTACAAGTTCAAAAAGTACCAAACTAGTATCTTGCTAAGAACGCAAACAGAAAGAAAAATACACAAAATATGCGACTTTTCATGATCAGTCTCTGTATTAGCCTGCCAGCAAGCTCTCTGAGGCGCTCTGGCAGCAGGGCCAAAAGAGAGAGCGAAGAGCTTGCTCGCAAGGCGTTTTTGAACGACGGACGCCAACAGGAAGTGAAGCCTTTTCCTGCGACCGCTTTCCCAAAACACCAAAATTGCTCTCAGTCAAAGCCTTATACTAGAACCTCTCGTAAAGGCCACCTTCCGTAAGCGACCGCGACCACTTTTTGGGCTGACAGTTTTTGAATTTTCTATTGTTTTCAACCTCTTACTAAACAGTGAAGTACATTGTAAAATTGGACAAAAATTAAAGGAATTTATTATTTGGCTGTCATTATTGCCTACACATCTATTACTGTGTTAGTTCGATACTATCGATTGTAGTATATAACTACAATGTTAACCATTACCCTTGAGAAAAAGACTCAGATTTCCAGGTTTCAGTTAAAGAAGCTAAGTTTTTGTTCATCAGACGTTTTAGGGACATTTCTGTAGAGGAGGTCACGTACACAAGTAGAATTTTTTTTACTAGTATAAATTTATAACGCGTATTATCTAATTAAGTGCACTTCCGTAAATGATCTCTCACATAGAATAGCTAATGATTTTGTCGATAAAACTACCAGTAATTCGCAGGGGAGAGTAAACTTATTATTTTTTTAGAATAGATATACCACTCCATTCTAGATTGACTTAAAAATTTCTCCCATGCGGTCCGACTCTCGTAACGGCGACCACGAAGCCGTTGCATTCTGGATGGTCGCTTACGGGAGGTTCGACCGTAGTGTGCATCGAAGCTACAACATTTGTATACAACTTACCGGCATAGTTAGAAGGGGAGATTGGTTATGAAAGCCGGCAAGTGTCAAAAATAAGACTACAGCGGTGCTGTGGTCACAAATAGTGACGTAATGAATGAATGCAACGTTTTTATTGGTCAATAAGATCAAAATGATAGGAATGCTATAGAACGTTGTGCACCGTAAGGTCCACAACAACATGACAAAAAAAGGTCTACTTCCGGTTGGCGTCTTTCGCTCAAAAAGTAGTTTTCGGTTTCCCTTCATGCCGTTTTATTGTTTTATGAGTCAAATGAGTCTATAAATTTTGAGTCAAGTCATGAGTCAGATCAGCATTAGCCTGCATAACAGGCACTTTATTAGCCATGCGAGGCGAACGTTGAGCGAAGCGCGAGACGAAGGGAGGAGAAAAATTAATTAATAAGTACTTCATTTTTTCCTCCCCTCCTCCCGCGCTTCGCGCAAAATGCCGCGTTGGCCTCGCGTGGCTCACAAAGCGGCTGTCCTGCAGGCTAGATCAGCATTGAATAGTGAGCCTCTCTTTGGATACCTGCGGAGGTCGTTTTCGTCGCGCCTTTTGCATCAGTTCGGCGATTTCGTCATAAATACCCATACAGAGTGTCTATAGTTATTAGGCAGGGTTAAACACTGACTCGATAATGGTTAGCATTTAGAGATTCTTTTTTGTTTAAATGACTCATTGACCCATCATGCCGTACCATTAGGACTCAAAATAAACGTTTATGTAAAAGTTTCATTATTGCTGATATTACCTTTTCTCTCATGCCAATTGCCTGGGTTTTGCAAATGATGCTTTAGGGTGCTGGAGGCAAACTCGTTCTGAGATTGAAATTTACGTTGACAAAATGGATATGAACAAGATATATCACCTGAAACATGGATATAAACAGTTGCATTAGAACTTTTTGACAGTATATGTAAAAGTTTTATGATTGATGGTTATTACCTGTCATTTTTTTATGCCTCTTGCTTGCGTTTTTCACATGATGCTTTAGGTCTTTATCTGTGGTAAACCGCTTCGGGCAAACCGTACACGCAAAAGGTTTCGATTGCGAATACTTAACACTATGTACGGCTCTTTGATGATCATCACTTCCATTATCGGTGGTAAACTGCTTCGAGCAAAATGAACACTGAAAAGATTTCAATAGTGAATCCATATCTAGCTCACTGCTCAATGATAACTTGAGAACGACGCTTCTCGAGTAAAAGCCACAGAGCGTCTACGAAGCTAAACTGTCCTCGTTCGTTTTATTTGTATTTCACACGTGCGTGCGCTTAAAATGGCTTGAAAGAGGGAAATTCCCGACGTCATTAACAATGGTTATACAGAGTATAGCTCACGAAGTCATCCTGGCTGAAAAAATGCCATTTTTTGACGAATACTGGTAGAGGGTAATAATTGTACTAGAAACGACTAAATAACCCACTGTTGTATTTTAAATTGGAGTTTATTTTTGCTGGAAGCTGACGGGACAAGGACAAAAGCTTTCACCTCGGTTGGAAACTTAACACTCTCTTCATGCAAATTTTGCAAAAAAATATTGTTTTTTCCAGCAGTATGGCCGCGTTTTCTGGTAGCTGAAAACCAGCAATATGTGCCTCATCATGCGATAGTCACTATGGTGAGTCCTGGTAAACAACTCATGGACATCTGAAATTACAAAGTGAAATCTACTATGAGTTATGGTCAGTTACCGTAAAGTTTCGAAAGTAACGGCCTTTGTTACTTTCGAATTTGGCGTCCTACGGTTATTGCTACTTTCGGAGGCTCGCTAGTTTCAGGGGGGTCGTTTCTTTCGGATGGCTAAAACGTGTACTCCAAAATATGTGAAAGGAATACTTTTTTAAAAAGGTAATGTTATCCTGTTCTTAAAGAGTTATAAATAGGAATGTCAAATAATCATTATTAATAAATCTTGGATCAGTCAGGGCATTTGTTCATGATCAGGAATCTATCACATCTGTTATTTATTTCAAAAAGGGAAATTAGTTTTGAGGTCTCTACTTTCGGAGGGTTGTCATTTTCGGGGAAAACGCTACTTTCGGTATTGTTATGAACACCTGTGACATTTAATTGCTACTTCCGGAGGTTCGCTACTTTCGAGGGGTCGTTATTTTCGGAACTTGACGGTATATTTAACAATTATTCCTCGAGGCCGGATGGGCTATTGACTCAGAGGCCATGAGGGCCAGAGGAATGATTGTTTCAGTAAAATCCAACTAGATGGTCAAAAATATTGTGACAAAAAAACCCAGCGACTTTTTTCTGTAAAGTAACTGTACGAAGGAGCAAATATTGCCTAGAAATTTCTAAAGCTTGAGAAAAGCTAAAAATTTCTAGATAACCGTTCCATTTGTCTAAAATATTCGGAGGTTTTCCAATAGCTTAACTACGATTTTCGGAGGCTGTGTTATTCACGTTTTCATACTAAGATATTGCGATTATTGTAAAAAAAAAAAAGGTCTCCTAGAACTTTCAGTATAAAGGCAAAACGTCCCCTATAATTTTCTAATGAAAGCAAGGCTTCTTCATGCCCTCGAACTTTCGACCTGACCCATAAGGGTAGCTAACACTTTCGGATGAGGCGAAAAAGCCACCTTAAACTTTCGTGGCGACCAAAGTTCCCCTCAGACATCCGAACAGATAAGTAGTTTTTAGTGTAACTCCAAATTAACCAAACAGGCTTCTAAAGCACAGAGAAAACCATCTGAGACACTTAAAGTGGCTTGAAAGAGGGAAATTCCCGACGTCATTAACAATGGTTATACAGAGTATAGCTCACGAAGTTATCCTGGCTGAAAAAATGCCATTTTTTGACGAATACTGGTAGAGGGTAATAATTGTACTAGAAACGACTAAATAACCCACTGTTGTATTTTAAATTGGAGTTTATTTTTGCTGGAAGCTGACGGGACAAGAACAAAAGCTTTCACCTCGGTTGGAAACTGAACACTCTCTTCATGCAAATTTTGCCAAAAAATTATTGCTTTTTCCAGCAGTATGGCCGCGTTTTCTGGTAGCTGAAAACCAGCAATATGTGCCTCATCATGCGATAGTCACTATGGTAAACAACTCATGGACATCTGAAATTACAAAGTAAAATCTACTATGAGTTATGGTCAGTTATCGTAAAGTTTCGAAAGTAACGGCCTTTGTTACTTTCGAATTTGGCGTCCTACGGTTATTGCTATTTTCGGAGGCTCGCTAGTTTCAGGGGGTCGTTTCTTTCGGATGGCTAACTGACGTGTACTCCAAAATATGTGAAAGGAATACTTTTTTAAGAAGGTAATGTTATCCTGTACTTAAAGAGTTATAAATAGGAATGTCAAATAATCATTATTAATAAATCTTGGATCAGTCAGGGCATTTGTTCATGATCAGGAATCTATCACATCTGTTATTTATTTCAAAAAGGGAAATTAGTTTTGAGGTCTCTACTTTCGGAGGGTTGTCATTTTCGGGGAAAACGCTACTTTCGGTATTGTTATGAACACCTGTGACATTTAATTGCTACTTCCGGAGGTTCGCTACTTTCGAGGGGTCGTTATTTTCGGAACTTGACGGTATATTTAACAATTATTCCTCGAGGCCGGATGGGCTATTGACTCAGAGGCCATGAGGGCCAGAGGAATAATTGTTTCAGTAAAATCCAACTAGTTAGTCAAAAATATTGTGACAAAACAACCCAGCGACTTTTTTCTGTAACATATCTGTTCGAAGGAGCAAATGTTGCCTAGAAAGTTCTAAAGCTTGAGAACAGCTAAAAATTTCTAGATAACCGTTCCATTCGTCTAAAATGTTCGGAGGTTTTCCAATAGCTTAACTACGATTTTCGGAGGTTGTGTTATTCCCATTTTCATACTAACATATTGCGATTATTGTTAAAAAAAAAAAAAAAAGGTGTCCTAGAACTTTCAGTATAAAGACAAAACGCCCCCTATAATTTTCTAATGAAAGCAAGGCTACTTCATGCCCTCGAACTCTCGACCTGACCCATAAGGGTAGCTAACACTTTCGGATGAGGCGAAAAAGCCACCTTAAACTTTCGTGGCGACCAAAGTTCCCCTAAGACATCCGAACAGATAAGTAGTTTTTAGTGCAACTCTAAATTAACCAAACAGGCTCCTAAAGCACAGAGAAAACCATCTGAGACACTTCTGGCGTATTTGGAAACATTCGGTCGCCGTGGGTGCCTTAATTTGCGAACACAAGCGGTTTGCCGGGTAAGTTCTTTGTTTTTGTGTATTATTTTATTTGTCAATACATACTTATTATATTATCTTTTTAATTTTTCTTAGGTGAAATGAAGAAGCGTTAGGCGTGATTCAGGCTTCAAGCGTGATGATTTCACTTACACATCCCTACACACTTGTCCAACCTCGTTCCCAGATTCCTCTCCTGCTCATTCTCCCGGAAGAAGAGTAGGAGTGGACCCTGGGAACAAGGTTGCACACTCGCCTTGTATTAAAGAAAACGAAGTTAAGTCGACTGTATGATACAAACAACATGTACGCGCTTTTTTTTTAACTCTCTTTAATCATTGACTCTGTACACCCGAAGTATTGGACCTCCTCAGAAGAAACATGGGATTAAAATGTAACGAGTAACGCAGCACTGAATTGCGATGATTGTTTTTATAATATTGCAACTGTTGATTTACACATGTTCTGAATAAATCACTGCGAGAAACTGATTTTTATGATCATGGCTATTTATGAATTTGGGGCGAGGGAATTATGAGCTATAACGTACTTTTTCGATTGTAGGTTATCCCCTGTGGTAAAAATTCGAAGATGAAAAGAAGCCCAAATTGAAATCTTGGTAAATGGTTTGGGCGACTCTCTCATCACTCTGAAACAAATTTCAGTTCAAGATGGCCGCCGGCAGCAATCAGAAATTTGATAAACGATCTGGGTAGCCTTCTCGTCGGCTCAAAATGTCACCAAACACCATTTTCTTCCGTTGTTTTGAAAATACACAAAATAGAGGAAATTTGAGATGTTGACTCTGTTGAGTTCTTGGGTTCCTAAAGAACGCGGAGACTTGTTATCTTACTAGAAGCTTTAGAGCGGTTTTCACTTGACTGTCGAAAGGGATTGGTTTTGGTTTTGGTTTTGGTTTATCTACGCCCTTTGGTTGGCTAGTGTATTTACTTTGGTTTTGGTTTTACGACAGTCAAGTGAAAACCGCTCTAATGAACTGCAAAACTAATACAGGGTGACTACTTACAATAGTTTAAGAGATAGATATCACGCGGTTACATAGTTGATGACGCCATCGATGACACGCCTGGTTGCTAAACACTACACACCCAAAATTATACCCTATTCCCTTTAGGGACTCTACATGTTACAAATAAATCTAATAAAATCGTTGTTCTTCATCTCCAGTTAAAAGTAACCCGCACATCTCTGAGAAGGGGTTTCCGCATGGTTTCTTCTGCAACCTTTTTCACCTCATCCCAGCAGTCAACACGGGCGTACAGGTTGTTGGTTGGGTTTGCAGGATCAATTATATGTGGCCCATACAGGAGACTGAAATGCCAAAAAAGAAAATATGCCATAAATAAAATTCTATTGCGAAAGAAAATTTGTGCGATTGCTATATTTTTAAAAAAAAGGATTATGGAGAATAAGACCCAATGCGTCAGAGTAAGGGGACGGTAAAGGGACGTTTCTCGAAATTTTATGCCGGTATGTCGACGTCCGAGACGCCTGTGTCATCGAGAATGTAAAAAGCGGCTCTCTTATTCCTACTGTAGTAAAACAATTTTAAACTCTCCATGAATGTACCTGTTTGGAATCAAATCCCTTCTGTAGTAATCTTCCCAAGAAACACGAAGACTTTGGTGATTCTTTAGAACCTCCAAAACAGCTTTAAAACCAATCTTCATGTCAAAGCTCTCTGCAGGATTCAAAGGATTTACATTTTCCCAAACGTGTATTGTGAGAAGTTCCAACAGATAGGAGGGGGGGACATGCTTACTACCACTCTGTGGAATGTACGTCTTGCGCCAATACTTTACCAAGCGAATCAGGTCTTTTACGAGTGCAGGCCGTTTCTTAACGAAATCTTTTTGAACCATCACAAGGGCTGCGGAGTAGTATGGCCAGTTCTTTATGTCATCGAGCATTTTTCTGTAAAACATTTCTCGTTCTAAGACAAAGAATAATACATGATAATGAATATCTGCTGAGATTCAGCGCCATGAAAGTATTTTTAATAAACGCTGATGATTTTTTCCTCAAAATTGTACATGCCTGTAGGTCCTGTAGCTTCACTGATAGGCAGTTGAACAACAACTGAAAAAATCACTGTTGTCCCGAGGTGGGGATGGAGGGACTATTGTTTACTCAGGGGGATTTTGATAGCTGTCCCATAGCCTGCGTAGTGGGCGGGATTGTCATTAGCGTGAGCAAAGTTTTGGCAGAGGAACTGTGAAGTCGTGCGGAGAATGGGGAGGAGAAGCCCTGGTAAGGGTTTGAGTCGGTGTGCAAGCCGCTCGTGAGTCCTAGAGAAGCTGACTAAGAGACATCCTGCATCTTATGAATTTCACTTGGATCGAAAATGAGGTCTTTGTCTAAAAGAGCTTTGAGCAAGTTGGCAAACTAATGAAAGATGTCAGCTCAGATGGCAAACAAAATTATAAGAAATTCAAGATGCTGCCCCATAGTTAAGACCAGTCTTAAAAAATGGACATAGTGAAATATACTGTACAAAAAGAAATGAAATGAACACAGTTCGGCCAGAGACACATATTCAAGCTCAAAAATTTATTCAGTTACTTGAAATTTATGGGAAAGAAAGAAAGTCAGGATGAAACAAGGGGAGTATTAGTGACAAAGATGAAATAATGATAAAATAAATCAACACAAGATTACGAGTGGCAAAAAATAATTTGCCTCACTGGAAACACATGCTAATTGACTTGAAAAAATGAAAACTAAAAAAAAAACGGACAACCTTTGGGACCGGCACAAAGTGTCGATAAGTGTCCGTGTTAGAGAGGTGTCCGTCTTATAAAGAGTCAAATAAAAGGAGTAAAGAAAGGCAGGGACCAACTCTAAGAGTCCGTTTTACAGAGGTGTCCGTTAAGAGAGAGTCGACTGTAATCTAGATTATTCTCTCTTTAGCTGATCGATACATCGAAGCAATCATCAGTGACAATGTACATTCAGTATTTTACACATTTTGTATAAACGGAAAACTATGTGAACTATCACATATGGTAAAAAGCAGTTGCAAATACGTGTGCGATGAGCTAGGTTAAGTTTTGTTCTAAAAGCAGAGTTATAACTGGGAATCGCTTTGGGCCTCCCACTTGGAAAGCCGTGCACCAACTAAACTACCTTACTGAAAATCGCTAAATTAAAATGCACCAAAATTACTGCAAGTGTCACTAAATTTAAATCGTCGCTAAATTAAAGTGAGTACAATATGAAATTCTGCCATCTGGTTAGTTTCACACACATGCTACTTGACGGTCGATAATGACGTCTATCATTGAGTTTGTGTGACCATATACCTTAAATGTTACTAATAACCAAAGGTTACGGAATGCGCGCGACAACGATCGTAGGTCAAAACGCTTTTGCTCCAACGCTGCGCTTTGCGCAAGTTTCACGTGACAAGTGGTCAAAAAACGCGTGATCAGATTACGAGTGATAGAAGGTCCAAATTCGCGTGATCAAATTGCGTTATGTGCATTCCATTCATTCTTACAGTGGAAGTGCGACGCATGCGTATTAACAAACTGGACATTAGGATTGCGGTCTCCTCTTGTCTCCCGCAATGACTGAGAACAGTTCGTTTATTTCGTTCAAAATTAAGTTTCAGAATGTTTTATGCCGTTTATGACAATAATCACATAAATGTTCTATTGTCGTCGTAAAAGTTATGTAATGCGCCATAGTTTTAGTTCGTGAAATCGTGAAGTGACTTATGTTCCAAAATTTACGAAAAATCGCTAAATTAATGTGTCGCCAAAATTTCATGTAATAACGTATGTCAACTACGGGTAACGCGACTACGCGTGAACGCATGAACGCGACTACGAGTGAACGTTACGTACGTACCATTGATGTCCACTACGTTTGCTTCAAATGTTGGCAAGAGATCAACCTTAACAGATTCTGTAGAATAACGTGACATGTTAAACTGTATGGAGAAGTGCGTCCTCTTGGTGATAGTCAATTGCCATGGGTCCCCTTTCCAGTTCCTCAAGCGTGACTCAAGGTCACGCAAGATGTCGGGTAGTTTGCTGCTAAGCTGGGAAGCGTTTGTAATACCCTTCATGACCACGCAATCCAGGTCGGCGTCGTTTTTTAATGCAGTGCCTTTAGCAATAGATCCACCCTAAAAAGACAAGGCAGGCGTGTAGAATCTATATAATCATAGCATTTTTTATCACTTTCGTGTCATGCTCACGAGAACCTTGACTTTAGTTTTAGAACAGGCCCCTATGGGTCACCCGGGGGTGTCAGCGGAGGGAACTCGAAGGCAAAAGTATCGGATACGCTAATCGTAGCTTTTAGGGAAATCAGCGATTTGGTGCTAAAGCTACATTCGCGGACATAATTGTTGAAACGGGGCTTTCGAATTTCTTATCCCCTTCCCCTTCGATGTTGATTTTGAAGACGATTATTCCCAAGCCGTGAAGCCAATGTTGGGGGAAGGAGAGGAAAGCAATACGTGTACAGTAAAACCCCGCGACTAAGAACCTAGCCCTCCTCTATATAAGAACCTATTTAGCCTAAAATATAAAACAGGTTCTTATATTCTAAAATCTATGAAAAAATTCTGTACACTTAGGCGAATAAGAAAAGTAAACATTCAGAATCCTCTTTGGAAACATAGGTGCCTTATCACTCCAACTGTAATGTAAATGCCATTGTTTAAATCAAATAAAACTGTTATCGATACAATTACAAATAAATAGAGTTCTTCTTTTTATGTTTATTTTTACTCAACTTCTAATTTGGTATGCAGATTTTGTATAAAGAATAAGCTAAACCACTAAATACTCTTAGCTATATCGCATTTTTTTTCTTCAGAAAACAAGAACCTATTTAAGAACCTAAATAGCCTAAACGTACGCCAGCTACCATTTATATAAGAACCTGTTTAGGCTATCCAGGAAAAATCCAGGTTCTTAGTCGCAGGTAGCCTGTGTACAGACGTCCCCCTCCCTCAGAAAAAATCTGGAGAAGAGAGTCTCTTCCCCCGATTTTTTCTGAGGGAGTGGGCGGGGGGGACATCTGTACACAGGATAAGTCGCGGGGTTTTACTCGTGGAACGACTTAGGTTACCTTGTACTTTTCGGAAGTTTTCCAACATGACCGGGGTTGTAGCAGTCATTTACCTCGGCCTGTATTTCAAATTTTACCTTTTCCTAGAAGTTTTATAGCCTTTTCAAATAACTGGCGAAAGCAAACATTTCAACTACCGTCTGGTTTTCGTGTGCCACGCCCTTTAAAAATACATGCAGGATCTTCTTGGGATATTGTTGAAAATTAAAGACATCTACAACAATAATTTAAGGCAGGCGAGGAGGAGGGCTGCTTCATCACTAACCTTGATCAGGTTATGAATTCCATAGTTCGTATTTTGCAAGTCTCCCTGAAGTTCTCGGTACAAGGAATCAATAGCATCATTAAACAGACGATGAAAATCTTCATTTGGCTGTAGCTCATCACTTATGAATTTATTCAAATCCAGGCTTGAACTCTCTCTTATATCATCTGAAACTGAACAAACAACTAAGTCACTGTAAAAGACAGTCGAATTTTTGTAAGGTAGCATAGTAGGACTGCCCAATACGTAATAAATTTTGAAGATTATTGGCACACTTCACCTTCACAAGAACTTTGAAAAGCGGGCAGGCATAGAGCACAGAACAGATCTAGTTTTATATTTTAAAATTCGTAAGATAATATTATTATTATAGCCCAATGCTGTGTAGCGGTGCGGGGAAACACCGAAGTCAGTGTTGTGATTCGGGTAAAATGGAAGCGGCTTCAATCCAATTTTCTCGCATAGCTAAAAAGCCTCTGTATAATCTCGAAATATGATGAAATAAGCAAATAGCAATACATTAAATTTCATTGAATTAAACAAATTTACGGACGATAATTTCTTAACTTTTTCGCTTATTTTGATTTTTATTTTTAACCCTCCGCTACTTGATCTGATGGGCCACCAAAAACTAGGTCGTCTCCGAGATGCCCGGGCCTAGGCCTCTGTTTCAAAGAAAGTTTAAGTGCGAAGCCACTGGTATGAAAATGATCTTTTATTCTCATGCAAATAAGAATCATTTTCATGATTTAGCTCTTAGCCTCGTTTCCAAAGTGAGAGTTTTTGGAACTCGGAAATGGCCTATCACTTCACTCGGCAAGCAAAGGTTTAGAATACCAATTAAGCACCTATTTTGGGACTTAAAAGCGTAGCTCGCGAATGACGTCTGTGTTACTAATTTGCAATTGTTGTCTGAGTTTTGTCATTTTTCTCTGTTTGTCTGAGTTTCGGGTCTATAAATAGTAACTGAGCACGCAGCGCTATTTTATGCTTCAAGAGAAGTGCTCCGTATTATTCGTGATGGTGATGATGACCGTTATTATTATTATGATTAATGAATTATCTTTATCATCATTCAATATCGTTTTTCTTTTTATTGATGAGCCGCGTTTTATATGTTGACTTGAGTTTCTTGTCAAGTTTCTGCAGCACTAGTCTGTTGTATGCAAGGTCGTATTTACTTACTTTATTTGAAAAATGACTTAATAAGTAAAAATTCGAGTTACCACTGAATTTTGAAATCGAACCTGAACTCGGATTAAACTCGGATTTTCATAATCCGAGTTGCAAATTTTGAAATGTACGCATTTCAGATTTTTGTCGTAAAAATCTGAGTTGCAAATGTAAACTGCAGAAAATATATAGATGTCCTATATGAGCCACGGTAACTACTTTGGGTTATTATTATATATATATATGTAAATAAAGCGAAATCGAAACTAAGCAAGCGGAAACAAAACAAACCGAAACAAGACGTACAGTTGACGTTGCTACAAGCCGTACAGTTGACGTTGCTCCAGTCATCAGTAACCTGTACACCACTTAGAAGAGGTTTCCGTAGGGTTTCTTCTGCAACCTCTCTCACCTCACCCCAACTGTCAACATCAGCGTACAGGTTGTTGGTTGGGTTTGCGGGGTCAAAAACATATGGGCCCTGCCGAAGTCTGAAACGCAAGAGGGAAATACCGTATTTATTTGATTAACCGCCCTGGTAAAAACGGCTGCGAAGGAGACTACCCGGGCGATTATTAAATTTTTGGACCTTGAGGGTGGGCGCTTATTCGAGGCTGGGCGCTTGTTAAATTTTCACCATTTTCAGCAAGTGTAGTATGTTCAGTTTATTTTGCAACAAAACAATAAATGGTAATAACAAAATGCGAAGATGTAACAAAGCAAGGTTGCTGTAAAATGCTCTGAGGAAAACACCGTCGCTAGTGATCAGTACTTATTCAATTTTATCGTAAAGACTCTTAACTCTTGAGATATTAACAAGCGGGAAATCACGCGCCTATTAACTTTTTCAGCCATTAGGATGGGCGCTTATTCGAGGTGCATGGGCGCTAATTCGGGGTTGGGCGCTTATTCGAATAAATGCGGTATGTAATAAATAAACCTTTACAATGAAAGAACATTTCTGCAATTACGGTGTCTTTCAAGTACCGTAACGTTTTCACGAATTTCTTGTCTCGAGAGTCATTCCTAGCGGGTTTTACATCTGATTAAAATAAAGTAAAACAAGCATGCAAAAAGCACCTAAGGCGTCATGGGAAGGGGTATTGGTGACGGACGTATCTCAAATTTCCACTGTTTTATTAACAACCGAGACGGCCTGACTCCTTGAGAATGTAAAAAGCAGCTCTTTTAAACGTTGAGGAAAGGTATTTTTAAACACCTTACGAATGTACCTGCTTGGAATTAACTCCCTTCTGTAGTAATGCTCCCAAATAACACGAAGATTGTGGGGATTCTTTAGAGCCTCCATAACAGCTTTAAAACCAATCTTCACGTCAAATCTCTCTGGACGATTTGCATTTTCCCAGGCGTGTATGGTTAGAAGTTCCAACAGATAGAAGGGGGGGAGGTGCTTACTACCACTCTGTGGGATGTACGTCTTGCGCCAATACTTTACTAAGCGAATCAGGTCTTTTACGTTTGCAGGCAGTTTCTTGACGAACTCTACTTGTAACTTCACAATAGCAGCCGAATAGTATTCCCAGTTTTCTTCATCGTGCACCATTTGCATGTAAAACTCTGCTCGTTCTGAGAAAGTATAAATCGTTCCTCAGCAGATTCAACATAATAAAAGATTTACTAAGAAATCATAAATCGTTTCATAAATGGTAAGCAAACTTCAGGGATAGTAAATTTTGTCCCAGAATTGCGTTTAACATTTGTGCAAATCAGTTCTATTTACCAACAAACGACCACGAAGGCCTGAAACTGGTATCAAAGATGGCCGTGAATAAATGGAACTCGAATTTCCGTTTATAAGACACTCCGTCCGGCAAAACAGAACTACCTTTCCAGATGTTTGGTTGCTTCCGGAAATTTTCCGCTATAACGACCCAAAGAGTCTTGTTCCATTTACTTTCCAACCGGATTTTCCGGAAACATTTTGCAAATGGTAAACAACCCTTGAGTACCATCGACCAGTCACAACTAACGCAATAACTAACGCTGTCTACCCAAACGTTCCTAGACATCATTGCGCCGAAAACTTAACCCCATTCCTCTTAAAGTTTTTGGAGTGATGAATTTTTTATTAAAAATGGGAGAACCCTGAGAATGAAGTTTTGTTGAATTATCAATGGCTTGGGAAGAAAGCCACGTACTGACAAACTTAATCTATGAGCAACGCAACTAGCCTGCTTGTGTTTAGGTACGTACCAGCATCGGTGCCTACGTTTGCTTCAAATGTTGGTAAGAGATCGACCTTAACTAACTCTTCAGAAGAACGAGACATATTAAACTGCACGGAGAAGTTAGTGGTCTCTATGGAATCCAGTTGCCATGGGTCCCCTTTCCAGCTCCCCTGCAGTCGTGACTCTAGTTCAGGCAAGATGACGGGTAGTTTCCCGCTCAACTGGTTAGCGTCTTTAATACTCTTCGTGACCATCACGCAATCCAAGTCGGAGTGCTTTTTTAATGCAGTTCCTTTTGCAATGGATCCGCCCTACAAAGACAAGGTGGGTATGCAGAATCTATTCATAGCCGGAATTTTTTCAGTCACTTTCGTGCTATACGGGGTATCCCAAAAGTTCGTTCCTCTACTTTATAAGTCTGTATTTCAGTACAATTGGACTTGGTAAGCAAATCATTTGAAGAAAAGTTGTGTCTTTCAATCCAATTCACTATTTTTATACTGATGGTGCCATCTTTTGACTCGAATATTCGATTTGTGTACTTCCGCGCCAAAGGTGCCCGTACGCGTTTTTTTTTTTTTTTGCAGCCACTTTTTTTTTTTGTATTTTATAGCCCGAATTACTCGAACTCCTTCCTTGTTTTTTGTGAATATCAAGAAAAATAAACTCCCTTAACGAAAAAAAGCTCAGCTACGTGAGAGCATAAGCATGTATACTTCGATTTACTGGCCTATCTGTTGTAGAAACTGCTTAAAAAACTGGAAAAATTCGAATGTTGGGCAGTAAAATGATCATGGAGAAATGGAAGTTTTGAAGGCAAGAAACGAAGGGGAAGACCAAAAGCAGCTAAAATAGTTTTAAAGAAGGCTAGATACAAAATAGGAGACTCGACGAGGAAGCTCTCACATAGTTAACCAGCCAAGTCCCGAAAGGGTCATGAAAAGGTGTTTAAAATGTTTAAGTTTAATGGCCCCTGAGGTGGCAAAAAAAAACTCTGCTTAGTCTGCCAAGTAACGCCCAGCTGGTCTCAAATTTGTAAAGAAGTACAAAAGCCTTGCTGTGGAAGGGGGCGGGGATGATTATCTTTTTTGGATGAATGCCCAAAATAAGTTTTTTTTCAGCTGTCTAAACTAAACAAATATTGTTTGGGGGTTGAACTGGCTGCTGCGCACCAGGTGATAAAAAAGCTCAAAATGGATCATCTGTGGGTCTACACGCTGTATCCCACTTCAAGACGCAACGGCTACAGAATGTGATAAAAAACAAAAAGGACATGCCAGTTACTGAAATTCTGAAGACATGTACTCGATAGAGAAATAAACATCTTGTAGAAATTTCATGTAAAAATAAAGTTTTGATCAAAAGTTATAGTGCATGAAATTAGAGGAACGAACTTTCGGGACACCCTGTATAGTTTCGCAGCGTCTCGACCCTAGTTAGTCCTACTCCTGAAACCTTTCTGGATCGGCACTGAAGGACCTCCAGGGCAAAAGTATCAGTCCATCGGATACGTTAATTGTAAAAGTTAAGGGTAAAAACACGATTTGGTATGCATTTCGTTACCTCCATGCTTGTATTTCCAATTTTACCATCTCCCAGTATCTTTCACTGTATTATTTTTTAACTACGCATTGCGTATATTAAGAATAAACATTTTAACAGTCACGCCCCGACATCTATAATGATTCTATTACCTTGGCGTCTTTCGTTTGGGTGGGGTGGGGGGAGGCTTATGCGCCACTAACCTCGATCAAGTTATGAATTCCATAGGATGTATTCCGCAAGACTCTTTGTAATTCTTTGTACAAGGAATCAATAGCATCATTATACACATCATGAAATTCTTTATCTGGCTGCAGCTCATCACTTATGAATGTATTCACTTTGACGCTGGTCCAAGCTTGATCCAAGAGTCCTAAAAAAGCAAATTAAGTCACTATTACAAAGTGTAGGTTTTAGCAGGCAACTGGACTGCCTAATTAATCGTGAATTTTGTGGTTCGTTGGCACAACATCTCACGATCTAAATCTAGTCATATGCTCATATGATGGGAGACTGGTTATCAAAGCCGGCACGCTTCAAAAGTAAGACGACGGCGGTGCTGCAGTTTATGTTGGAGGCTCCTGGTGCACAATCCTTTGTTTACCGTTCACAAACAGTACCGTAATGAATGAATGCGACGTTTTTATTGGTCAGTAAGATCAAAATGATGATGCTATTGAACGTTGTGCACCGTAAGGTCCACAAAAACATGACAAAAAAAGGTCCACTTCCGGTTGGCGTCCCTCGCTCAAAAAGTAGTTTTCGGTTTTCCCTTCATGTCGTGAGAAAGCTTGCTTTATGAGTCAAATGAGTCTATAAGTTACGAGTCAAGTTATGAGTCAGCGTTGAGTGCTGAAAATACGCAGTGATTAGGTTTAAGCACTGACTTCAGTGACTGGGTAAGCACTAACCATAGTGAGCCTCTCTTTGGCTACCTGCGGACGTCGTTTTCGTAACACGCTTTCGTCATAAATATCCATACAGAGTGTCTATATTTATAAGGCAGGGTTAAACACTGACTCGACAACAGTTAGCATTCAGGGATTCTTTTTTTGTTTAAATGACTCATTGTCTGACTCACAGTACCATTAGGACTCAAGTATAAATAAACGTTTATGTAAAAGTTTTATTACGCTAATATTACCCGTTTCATGCCAATTGCCTGCGTTTTTCGTATGCTGCTTTATGGCAAGGGGGGTAAACTTGTACTGAGATTGAAATTTACGTTTACAGAATAGATATGCCGTACAAGATTTATCACCTGAAACCAAAAAAAAATTAAGTTACTTAAATTCGTTATGAATTTTATAGATCATTTGAATAAACATATCATAGACCATAGCTAGCAAACAGACCATGACAGGATTGGAAGCCTAAATTAAATTACAGCTTCAGCGCCAAATGCAATAAATCTAGAAAATTATGTCCCTTCCCTTCTGTCGCTCAAACGCTTGTGCTTATGTATTAAAGCTTACTGAAGTTTCCCTTTATATCGTACTACTTAAAATCTATACTTCCCAAAATAATAAACCACCGCATCTCGTAGTCGGCAGCCCAATGAACCCCCACTATATGGAGATCTTGTTCTAGTACAATTGATTGATATTACCTGTCATTTTCTTATGCTTCAGCTTATGCTTTTTGCTTGCCTTTTCCATATGATTGTTTAGGTCATTTTCTGTGGTAAACCGCTTCGGACAAACCATACACGGATAAGGTTTCAATAGCGAATTCATAACTGGGTCAGGATGTACGGCTCTTTGATGATCAGCAAGGCCGTTCTCTGTTCTAAACCGCCTCAAGCAATCTGTGCACTTAAAAGGTTTCATAGCCGAAACCATAAGTAGCTTACTACCTGCGAACGAAGCTTCTCAAGTAAAAGCGAAACTTAACTTTCCGGGTTCGTTTTATGTTTATTCCACGCGTCCATGCGCCGGAGAGTGGGAAATCCCCGACTTCGTCAGCCACGTCATACAATGCCATACCGAATAAAACTCAGAAAATTAAACAAAATATATGGTTGAAAAAAAATGCCAGTTTTTGGCGAGTACTAAGAGAGGGTAATAATTTGCACTAAAAAGTACTAAATACTTGAAATAACCCACTGTTGGCCAAGAACAAAAGTGTTCTTTTCTGTTGCGAACGAAACACTCTTTTAAAGCAGCATAAGACTAATCTGTGGAATTGCAGACCGCGAAAGTGAAGACCGTGGAACCGCGGAATGTGCGGAATCGGTGGAACCTACGGAACCTAAGGAAATGGCTGTTTTTATTACAACTACCTTTCGCTAATGTGATATAATAATTAGTTACAATAATGTTTTTACAAAAACTAAGCGATTTCGCGCCCGCTGATTGGTCGAGAGCAGGAGAGCTATTGTCGATAACAGTACAGACCATGGAAATGAAGTGATGGTAGCGCAGTTTGTTTTTTTCTTTCCCGCAAGCAATTTTCCGCGAAAAGTCAACGGAAATGGACGACAAAAACTGTCAATGTTATTGTAAAAAAAAAATCGACAACAATTTTCCATGGTCTGTTCTCTTATCGACCATAGAAATGACGTCAAAATGTTCAAAAGTTTATAATGAAATCACTCTCCAGCGGCTCGTGGTTCCACTTGCGTTTTGAACATTTTGACGTCATTTCTATGGTCAATAAGAGTACAGACGATGGAAAATTGTTGTCGATGTGTTAAGGAACACTGATCGAGAATTCTGGGTCCGGCTTTTCAGTAGGTCGGAAGGCAACGAGAGGTATAGGTTTAAACACAGTAGGATGAGAGAAGGATGAGGGTATTACTTTACCGCTCAACATCCACAATACACACAGAAACTCTTGGTAACCTCATCAAATTCATTCTCACTTCAAACGTATATTTTTATTCCATCTCTTACATAAATACCCTTCATCCCACTATTAAATTTACATCTAACTACTTATGCATGTAAATCTTTCTCCTTTCTCGACGTCAAGGTGCCCCTCATGACAGTATCATTGAAACTGTTCTTTAATACTAATCCTACAAACAAACATCAGTATCTTTTACGCTGCATCATGTCGCCTCCTCCTAGCCTGCATAACAGGCGCTTTATGAGCCAAGCCAGGCAAACACGGAAATTCGCGCGAATCTTTCTCCTTCCCTCGCCTCGCGATTCGCGCTCGTCCGATACGAAATGCCGTGTTCGTCTCGCTTGGCTCTTAAAGCGACAGTTGTGCAGGCTACCTTTTACACTCTAAACGAGCTTTTCCATTCAGCCTTGCCCTCAGAATACGACGTATATGTTCCTCCAACAAGACTCACAAACTGCGTTGTAACAACTTTAAAGACGTGGATACAACGTCGGTTTCCTCAACCAGAAGATACAACGGTGTTCACACTATCACAAGTACTGACGCACCTAAACCCAGCGATGCCATAACCCACTCACCCACACGTATTCCTCTTGTTGCCGGATACAACCCAGCCCTTCCCTCAATATCATCTATTTTTCACAAACACATTCACATTCTATCTTCCTTCCAACGTTGTGCTACTGTGTTCTAATCTGTACCTCTCGTTCTCTTCAGAAGTACTAACAAGCCGGAATTCCGCGATTCGCGGACTTCCCGTTAGCTCTCGATTAATGTTATCGACTGTGTACTGTCCCCTATTTTTCCGCAAGATCGTCGGGAGCGAGCGCTACAAGCGGCAATATTGGCCGAGTCTAGCTTGAAGGTGAGGGGGATGACTATCTACTTACTTGGTGGTAGGGGACGGTTTGGGAACCCAACGATTGCCCTCTCGGTACATTTAAAATCAATTACAAAATGGCTGCCAGTGACGGTAAGTGCTCGATCTCGACGATCTTAAGAGAAAAAAGGGCACTGTAAACAGTTTATCAATGTTATTATTAATTGTAACTAATTGTTTTATCACTTTAGCCAAAGGTAGTTGTAATAAAAAAAGTCATTTCTTTAGGTTCCGTAGGCTCCGCAAGTTCCGTGGTTCCACGGTCTACAATTCGACAGATTCGTCTTACTTAAAGGGGCTATGTCACCCAACACGCATGCGCGAGCTAATGAAAACAAACTTGAAAAAGACAGCCCAACTTTTTCAAGTTGTGTCGGAGATTTTGGAAGGCTGTTTTTATCTGTCTAAATCTCAGCCATCGCTCGATAGTTAGCGAAGTTTTGTATTAAGAATCATTCTATGGTGATTACAGAACAATTTTTTGGCGTTATTTTAAAATTGTTTGCCTGTGGAATGTTTTTACGTGGATTTACTGTGTCCTCTTATCAGCGGCCGTTGTAATGGCAGAGTTAATGACGGCTACTCCACAATGAGTGATGGAATCTTTGATGGAATCTTCCCTATAGTTCACAGGACCTTTCTATTGAGTTATTTTAGAGGCTGCTGGCTCTTGGATTTTTCTTGTGCTCAAAGTATGTGGACATATAATGAAGCGGCTATCGAGTTGGCGGCGGCCGTTTTTTGTAAACGATTACAAGAGCATCAGGGCATGAGTTTCGTGACGAAACTAAACTCCTGGCGAAGGAAACATTCTAAAATTCGGCTAGATTCCTTCTTGTATTTATCTCGATTCACGGCAAAGATAAACACGACCGTTTGCTCGTCCAGATTGTTCTCAACGGACTTAGAGAGGCACCTTAGTACGAGTTAGATCCTGTAAATGCCATGTTTTTGAACTGTTTGTGTTGGAGCATAATGTATGTTTCCCTAAGATCAAAACAAAGACTTGGTCTCTTGTTCTATCAGCATCTAAATTATAAAATCAATAGCGACAGACAAGTCTAATTGTTAATGATTTGAAACAGTCTTGGTCTTTATCTTCGGTCTAGCGTCTTTTGTAGCTCCTTTGTAAAATACAACTTCCATTTATTTTGTTGAATAAGACAATATGTTGTTGTTGAATTTTTGTTTGCGCTCTATTTTATGAATGGCATGCGTTTTTACTTCAAATATACAAGTAAAATTGTCGTCGCAATTTTATTCTTGATCTAGCATAACCAGAGAAGAAACGTTCCATAAATTCTATCGAAATATCCCTTATCTAAACCCATTTCGCTAAACCTCTCTAAATTCGGAACCTTGGACGTGACAGAGAACATGAAGAAAGTCACGCGTTAAAAACAATAGAATTTTGACAGTTGAAAGTAATTTGCATAACCTCACAGCGCACATGGAGAAAGTCACGCGTTAAAAACAATAGAATTTTGACAGTTGAAAGTAATTTGCATAACCTCAGAGCGCATGCTCTCCAGCTGACATAGCCCCTTTAATGCAAATTCTGCGAAAAAAAGTTGTTTTGTGCTTAGTTGGGTGGTTGAAAACTTTCAGCAATATCTTGGCCTCGACATACATTCGGGCCATACAAATATCTATATACCTCACTAAATTGTTCATTTCTTCTACAAAACATACATTTAATATGCCTAAAAAAATTGTCAGTTTTGGAGATCACTGAAAAAGCAGTAATTTATACTATTTATTTTAAATACAAGAGTTAACCCACTGTTGTATTTTTAAATTCGACTTTATAATTAGGGGGGTTCCCCACCGTGCCTATCAGGTTTTATTTCCTGCTTGTCAGAAATTATTAATGAGGGGGTGTCCCCGCATGAATTTCCTTTTCAACAGCCTATGGCATCAACATTTCTATTAAACAACTTCATATAGAAATTAAATAGTACTTGCCATCTGAGATTACAAAAATTTACTATGTACTTTATTATACTTCCTGCGTCAAAAAACATATTTGTGTGGTCTGATTACTTAGCATGCGCCCACGTAACTCGACCCCATAGCTCTTCTGCGCATGACGGCCTGGGAGGGAGAAGCGTAAGCACTGGGGTCCACTGGGGTCAGCTTCGATCGGTATTGGGGTCAGCACTCGTTAACATCCGTCGAAAGGCCCTCTTACCTTCGGTCGGATTTCGTAAACGTATGACGTCACGCTCGCCTCGAAGTTCAATGTGTGATTCGCCTGCACTCCGACTTGTTTGATTTTTGGTGAGAGATTTGGCCGAGATTTTGTCCCACTTTTTGGATCATTCCTCGATTGATTCCAATCAATTCAAGCAAGAAGATACCACTGCCCCCGTTTAGAGGCTGTTTTGATGTTTCAAGCCTCTTCTTACTCCGCGGGGAAAAGGACCTTTCAGTGGATGTTACTGAATAACATCCTTTGAATGGCCCCAGATCACCAGGCTGTGTATCTAGGTGACAATTATACATTATCACTTTCCTTATTGAATACATGTACAGTGTAAAAATCGCCACACTTATATTTCACACTTGAGGAGAAGGATCAATATCGTTATTTATTATCCCACTATTATGTCATTTTACCTCATAAGCTCAAGAGAATGTGCAAAATATGAGGCTGTAATAATAATATTATTTAATAATATTTCTGTCTGATTTCGTTAAAATGACTGGTCACTAGGTTTTCGCCTGGCGCCGGGCACAGCCCGGCACCAGGCCAGTCCAGTGTCCAAAAAGGTAGGGGGCTTGCCGTATTGGTCGGTTTAGCTAGATAGCCCAGGGACTGCCCTAACAGTGGGTGGGTGGATCAGGTCAGGGGGCCAAAATTAGTGGGGTAGGGAGGGGGCTATTTTGACACAACCCCTTCAGTAAGCAGCAGTGTTTACTAGAGGCTTTGACTGGCAAGTACCTTGTTCTTAATTTGCCCTAGCCACTGAGCTGAATCCGGCCTCTGCTGAGAATGATAATGTTAATAGCCTTAGTCTCTATTTTTATATTTTGCACGCATTATCCCGCCTCGAATAGCCTTGCTAGCTGCCGGCAATACTTCTGTAAGTTTATATGTTTATTAATAAAGTTTTGTTGTTGTTGATAATTGCAGAGCTCAGTGGCAAGCACAGACAGTCACCCATTGTCCTGGGAGGGGATCAAAGTCTTGGTACCAAGGACACACTTAGCATAGGACCTGTAGACACTCACTGAAGCCATGTTTTACATAAATTCTCTCAGATTTATTTATTCATTTATTTATTTATTTATTTATTTAGGCTTACTTATTTTATGCTTTGTTATTAAGGTTGCAAATGAAAATGTACTTAAACTGTGCGTTTTGGTTCGAAGCCATTGATACTATGAAGTCTTCATCTACAATACATGATATCTGCAAGTTATTTCTTGGGAAAGGTTGCCTATCAGGTCAATGGGTTTGTTCAAGATTTTTTGTAATACGTGTCTTTAACAGTACAACAATGAATGAATGGTGGAATCAATATTTTTAATTCAACTTAAGTAACCCCTGAGAGTTTTGACTTGGCTTCTTGTTGTTTTGTCCAAAATATGTCCTGTAAAAACTGAAAGGGGAGGGTCTAAAGAATTTGGAAATGGTATCTTCCCATCTGCATTAGCCCTTCCCTCTCTGTAAATAATCCCCACTCCCTGATTTCTTTGAGGTCTTGCTTGAATATTAGTTTATAAGTGTACCTTAACGCCTCTTCTGCTGTAACAATTATTGTTCCTTCAACTTCTTTCCCAGTAAAGGCATGTCATTTGTTTTTTGTTTTCTTGTGCATTATTGGCTGTGTGATTTGACTGGTGGGTCGATTTTGGTGACTCTCGATCCTCTTTTCTCCCTCTATATGTTAATTTGTTTTCTTACTTAGTATCAAAGTGTTGACCAAATTACTGCGGAATTATGCCGCTTGTGAATGGCATCTGTTCAACTGAAGTGCCCCATACAGTGGCGGATCCAGACGTTCAGATAAGGGGGGGCCCGGTCATCCCGACCCTGAGATAAGGGGGGAGGGGGGTGGTCTCCAAAAAAATTCTTTTCGGCCCTTCAGGCCTCAGTTTGGTCCAAAAATAAGGGGGGGTCCGGGTTCCCTGGGCACCTCTCCTAGATCCGCCACTGCCATAGAGAGAGGAGTATTAAATTTTGCTATAGCTATGATCTATCATGTGGGCAACTATTCTGCAAAGAAGTTTAGGTCTGATTTGACCTATCTATATGGATGTTTGTTACCAAGAAAAGATGTCTTTACTTACAACAGTTGGGATTAATACAGATTTTTAACATAGAAATTAATTGCTGTGAACCCAGATTAGTGTCTGTTAGTAAGAGGTGCATGTAATCTTATTGGAGGTGTCGGTTAACAGAGGTTCTGTACAGTACCTGATGGAAATTGGGATTTTTTTCCTCTACTCAAGTTCTGTGCAAACTAAATGTCATACATGTTAATGCTACCATTTACAACAGTAGTTTAAGAACATGAGTGATGTTCAGAATACTGAAAGTTTAAAAATATTTCATTGTCTAACAATGTATATTATAATAATCATAATCATTACTATTACATTGTTATTATATCAATTACAGTGAAACCTCTATTAAGCGGGCACCTTCGGGACCTTTCCAAGTGTCTACTTAATGGAGGGTGTCCTCTTAATAGAGGTTTTAAAAATTGCACAATGTTTGTTAACGATCAACATTTAACGGTTACTCTGTACTGTGAAAAAGTTGCATGTCGTTAAAGAAGCTATCCAGAGTTAAAGTTCATTACCTTTCATTACCAACTTTAATTTGTTTGTAAATGCAAAAACTAGAGGTTTTTAACAATAGAAATTAGCCAAATACAACTTATTTTAGTGTCCGCGTCCACTTAACAGAGGTGTCCGCTGAATAGGGGTTTGTTATAAAGGGAAATATCAGACGTCTGTTTCGGGACCCGGCTTAGTGTCTGCTTAAGACAGGGTGTCTGCTTAATTGGGGGTCTGCTTAATAGAGGTTTCACTGTAAAATATTATAGTCATTGCTATTACAAATTGTGGCAATACTATCCAAAATATGCTTACCATGCAGACAAAGTCAGCCACAGTCATAGCTGTTTGCTTGAAAGGGAATTGGCTTTAATGTAAATAGCAGGGTGGGGGGGGGGTGCTTGCCCCCACCCCCTTTCCCTACCACCACCGCAGCCATGTTTCTCAACCCAAAATTGGCCAAGTGGAAATGTTACGATTTTATTGAACACCAGTTGTAGCATCCTGGGCACACGTTTTCTACCCTCCGACAACTCAAGAGTAGCACCATGAAGCAGGATTGTTTTTCAACTGCCTACTTATACATACCCGGCCAACTGTCGATTGCAGATTCTATGGACACTGTTAAGATCTCAAAGAGGTTTGCTTCTGCCAACGAACTAACCAAATGACATTCTGGGAAATTGGAGTAGGGCTATGGTCAATGGCCCACTTTGTATACAACAGTGGCAGATCTAGGGGAGGAGCTTGGGAGGCCTAGGCCCCCTCTTATTTTTAGACCAAACTGGGGCCGCGCCCGAAGGGCCGAAAAAAATTCTTTGAAGACTGGGCCCCCCCGTTATCTCAGGGTCTGGATGACAGGGTGACCCCCCCCTTATCTGAGGGTCTGGATCCGCCACTGTCAAATAATATAGCTGCTACTCACCTGTGCCTCTACAGCCTTTGCTTGCCTTGTAGTCCTTGTAGAGGAAAAATTTAACGGTTTTTCGAGTCTCAAAATCTTCCATTAGCTCTGTGCTTCTTCAGCGGATGAAACAGAATATAAATTATCAGACAACTTAGTAGTGCAAGAATGGCTTTCCCTTGTTTAATACTGGTAAACTTAGCTTTCTTTTGCTGTCTTTCTTTTTCTACTCGTTTTTTTTTTGTGAATGTTTTGTGTAGCTGTGTGTGGTGTGTGGTACCTGACCCTTTAATATAATCATTTATAAATAACCTAAGTGAGGCTGCCCCATGTTTTTAGCCCTCTGAATGGTTAATTCATACCTGCCAACTCTCCCGGTTTTCCCGGGAGTCTCCAAGTTTTTCATCAAATCTCCCGATCTCCCGGTTAGAGCACCAAATCTCCCCGATAAAATGGACTTTTGAGCATTTCTGTGCTTTAGTTTGAAATTTAGTCCATTTTTTCACAAAATTCGAACTTTTTTTTATTCATTGTACAGTTTCTGGGACATTTTTGCACATGTTTAGTCAATGACAAAGATTAGTTCGTCATTTCAATCATGAAAGCGCGTTTTGATCCCATGTACGTCATGTAAGACGTCATATAATGTCCTAAGGCAATTTGTTGGCGCGGGGGGGAGGAGTGGGGGTGTTGGTGCTGTTGACATTCGGGGATGGGGGGGTGTAGTGCAAAATGGAGAGTCTCCAGATTTTAGATCTCCGGAGGTTGGCAGGTATGGGTTATTATGGGCAGCCTGTACTCTCTCTATATATTTATCTAATTTTTTTGTATCATGTAAATCAATGTAGGGTACAGCTGGGTACAAATAAAGTTGTTGTTGTTGAATTGTTGTTGTTGCTGCAAGCATTCGACATTGACAGACATTACACACATGGATGATTCTCTGTTTTTTTATATTCCCGCCAAAATTTGAAAAAGTTGTTAAATGGGGCAGCGTTTCATTTGAGTTTTATTTGCTTCTTCGTGTAATTTCTTCATGAATGCCATTCATCCGGGGCCATTCAACGGATGTTACTCAGTAACATCCGCTGAAAGGACCTTCTTGATGCGCCAAGAGGCTCGATCGAGGCGAAACATTAAAACATCCTTTTCAAACAGATGCAGTGGCATCTTCTTGGTTTAATCAATCGAGGGATGAACGAAGAAGCAAGACAAGACCTCGAAACAAACATCAGATCATCGGACAAATCGGAGTGGACGATCGAAGAGAAGCTTACATGAGTCACAGGGAGAACCACGAGGCGAGCGTGACGTCATACGTTTACGAAATCCGACTGAAGACAAGAGGGCCTTTCGACGGATGTTAACGAGTGCTGACCGCTTCGATCCGCGACGCTGACCAAAAGGATCGAAGCTCTAGGTTCTTGTCTCCTTGTCTCAAGAGGCCGCGATCCTTACGGTCAGCGCCACTGGGATCGAGACGGAACTGTTTATGGAGGAAGGTGATCTATGGAGGTAAGAGTTACTGTTTATCTCAACCATAAATCGTGAAGTTCCATAAGCAAGACATTGCAGTCACTGAGGAGTTTAGTCAGTCTTGAAAAGTCCTTGAATTTTCTTCAACTTTGAATAGTGTTTTTTAATCCTTTTTGGTTGTCCAAGACAGAATATAAATCATAGCTCAGAGAATTTTACATAATGCTTTTTTTGTTTTATGTAATAATTAACTACTTAAAACAAGTGAACTGAAAAATTTAGAGAAGTTGGTAGAGCAAATGTTTCAAGCCTTAAACTCCTTTTAGAATGCACTGGGAATGTCCATTTTTGTACAATCTGTGACATAACATTACTGGTAGGTGGTCCTTAAAAAATCGAATGTGGTCCTTGGAAAGTCCTTTCAAAATGGTTGGAATTTTTTGTATGAACCCTGTAGTGAAAAATCCGGCACGGTTAATGTGAGGTATGCTTATCAGATTAACTTATGTTTAAGGCTATTTTGCAGAAAATATTGGTCCCATGACAGTGCTGGATCCAGACCTTGAGATAAGGGGGGCCCAGTCATCCAGACCCTTAGATAAGAGGAAGTGGGGGGCGTTCTCCAAAAAACTTTCTTTTGACCCTTCGGGCCTCAGTTTGATTTAAAAATGAGGGGGGGGGACTGAGCCCCTCCCCTGGATCCGCCACCTGAATGAGCAAGTAATTTGAGGATAAACAAATGGTATGTGCTTTTCTTTAATGCTCTTTTACTTGTTGCCTCTCTTCACCTAGAGAAAACATGAACCTCTTAAGAAATTATATGGGATGAATATATAATGAGTTACACAGTACTGAATTGTGGTGATAGTTTTTATTGCATCTGTTGATTGACACATGAATAAAACACTGTGAGAAACTGAATTTTATAATTGTGGCCCTTCATGAATTCGTGAGCTTTTACATACTGATTTGTTAACCAGAGAAAACAGCCTCCATTTCTCAACGCCACCGCTGGTTTCGCCACAAAATGACGTCCGAGGAACAACTGGATAAATTCCATACTGATGACATGTCACTATCCTGGGTAGTGCTTCTGATTGGTTAAGGCAAATTTTCCTCCTGGCACAACCAATAAGAAGCACTTTCCAGATCTAGGTAGTGGCATGTCATTAGTTTGGAATTTATGCAGTTGTCGTTCTTCAGACATCATTTTGTAGGAAAACCAGTTGGTGGTGTAACGAAATGTTGGTTGTTTTCTCAGACTACTGAATTGTACGTTATCCCCTTTGGTAAAAACTCGAAGATGAGAAAGGCCCAAATCAAAATCTTGGTCAATGGATTCGGTGACTCTCTCGCCACTCTGAAACATCTTGGTCCACATTAACTATGAACAAACAAGTGGCAAATTTCAGATTTTGACCCAGTATCATAGGCTAACCTCTATGGAAAAATCCAAGATGGCCACCAGCTGAAATCAGAAATGAGATAAATGATGTAGGTGGTCTTGCCACCGTTTCAAAGTGTCACCAAACACCATTTTCTTGCATCATTTTGACAATACCCAAAAATAAATGAAATTTGAAATTTGATCTTCTCGAATTCTTGAGTTGTTGCAGAACGCCTGGAGACTCATCGTACTAACAGCTTTATTGAACTGCAAAACTATTAATTACTTAAAATCACATTAGAAATAAATATTCCACAGCTACATAATTGATGCTACCATACATGCCTGCAGGCTACTTAATATGACCATAAAAATAGTACAGACCCAAAATCATACCCCTTTTAAAAAAGAAGATGGCCCAAATAAAAATGTTTATGAATGGTCTTTATAGACCTGTCACCACCCTAACACTTATAAGTATCATTTCTTGGTCGATTTAGACCTGATTTAGACTAAAAACAATCAGAGGATATTTACTAAGGCAAGCTCGCCTTAACTCTCAATAACACCTAAACTAAGTGATTTAAGTGAAATTGTTTAGTGATTTGGTTTGTCTCGGCCATTTTACTTATTGATTGGTTGTCCTTAGTGTTCTGGTATGTTTCGAAATGCTCTGAGGTGTCTAAGATTGTCTAAGGTGTTATTTTGAGGTTCTTTAACACTCATTATTTCAAGAGACCTTTTGCAAATTTGTTTTAGTATTCTAATAATATAATAAACTTAGAATGTAAATGCACTATTTATCATGAGCTATAGAAACACTAAATGTTGGTTTTCTCCCAAGAACTCACTTTTTCCTTAAGTGCGAAAACCTTTCTTATTATTCATTCAAAATATTTCCCCAATTCTGATTGGCTAAAAGCACACGCATTATTCACCATAACCAGCTACTGACGACCAAATTTGGAAGAATTTTGCGTTTAATGAACCGATGACGTCAAAAATACAGCTTTCTTGCAGGTTAATATACCGTTAACCAAGAGGACCTGGGGACGAGGTTGAGTTATAGTCAACTTTACCTTGTTACAGAGCAGGGCAATATTGGTGGGCTTGCCCTTCGTTTGTGAGCAAGGGGAAGCGTGCTAAAGGACGCAGGAGCATCTTCTCCTGTCCTTTCGCCCCTTCTTCTCCTTGTCCCTTAATCCTACACCCCACAAGACAGCCTGCTCAAAGGCTACCGTACACTTCATATCTAAACTGAATGGGCACTCCATTCTTACCATGACGTTGATCAGACTTTGCACACGCTCCAGATCGTGGGTTTCACCTCTTTGCTTCGCGAACAAAAGGGGTTTGCTGGGTGAGTTCTTTGTTCTTGTGTATTATTTTATTTGTCAATACATACTTAAAATTTTATATTATCTTTTTAATTTTCTTAGGTGAAATGAAGTAGTGTTGGGCGTGATTCAGGCTCCAAGCGTGATGATTTCACTTACACATCCCTTTGCACTCGTTCAACCTCGTTCCCAGGTTTCTCCCCTACTCATCCTCCCGGAGGAAGAGTAGAAGAGGACCCTGGGAACAAGGTTGCCACTCGTAAGAAAACGAAGTTATAAATAGTCGATAGTATGATATAAACAAGATGTACATGGTTTTTCTTCAACTCTCTTTCAATCGTGGCCTCTGTACACCTGGAGAAAACATAAATCTCAGAAGAAAATATGGGATAAATATACAACGAGTTAAGCAATAGTGAATTGGGATGATTTTTTTTTATAATATTGCAACTGTTGATTGACACATGTCCCGAATAAATCACTGTGAGAAACTGATTTTTATGATCATAGCTATTTATGAATTTGGGGACGGGGGAATAACCGTATGAGCCATATATAGCTCATAATTCCTTCGATTGTAGGTTATCCCCTGTGGTAAAGATTCGAAGATGACAAGAAGCCCAAATTAAAATCTTGGTCAATGGTTTTAGTGACCCTCTCATCACTCTGGAACGTCTTGGCTCACTTTAACTATAAACAAACACGTAGCAAATTTCAGTTCAAGAGGCCGCCAGCAGAAATCAGAAATTTGATAAACGATCTGGGTAGCCTTCTCATCGGCTCAAAATGTCACCAAACACCATTTTCTTCCGTTGTTTTGACAGTACACAAAATAGAGAGGTTGACTCTGTTGAGTTCTCGGGTTCCTAAAGAACGTGGAGACTTGTTATCTTACTAGAAGCTTTAATGAACTGCAAAACTAATACAGGGTGACTACTTACAATAGTTTAAGAAATAGATATCACGCGGTTACATAGTTGATGACGCCATCGATGACACGCCTGGCTGCTAAACACTACACACCCAAAATTATACCCTAATCCCTTTACGGACTCTACATACACCTAATTTCAATAACGTTGTCGTAGAAAAATGAAAAAAGGAAAAAGCCAAATAGGAATTAATTAGGCTAATTAAGCCACATTCTCAGGGTGGATTCATTTGCAACTGCTGCATTTCTCCGCTGGAATTTGTTTGATTGTTTTTCAGCTTTAAAACAATAGCAAATTCCAACAGGCAAATACGACGTCCATGTGCGGATGCTGCATATGAATTTGTTAGGCTTATTAGCCTAATTAATTCCTATTTGGCTTTTTCCTTTTTTCATTTTTCTAAGACAACGTTATTGCAATTAGGTATATTACTCAAATAAATCTAATAAAATCGTGGTTCTTCAGCTCCAGTTAGCTGTAAACCACACATCTCTGAGAAGGGGTTTCCGCATGGTTTCTTCTGCAACCTTTTTCACCTCATCCCAGCAGTCAACAGCGTCGTGCAGGTTGTTGGTTGGGTTGGCAGGATCAATTACATATGGCCCATACAGGAGACTGAAATGCCAAAAAGGAAAATATGCCATAAATAAAATTCTCCAGTAAAAGAAAATTTGTCCAATTGCTATATTTCTAAAATTTACGTGTTACGAATTTCTTGCCTCGATAGACATTCCTAACGGATTTGGTAACTGGTTGAAATAAGGTAAAAAGATCATATCGGTTTACAAACATCCGAGACGGCCTATGTCCTCAAGAATCTAAAAGGCGGTTCGTTTATCCTGGTTAAACTAATTTAGAACACTCCATGAATGTACCTGCTTGGAATTAAATTCTTTCTGTAGTAATCTCCCCAGGAAACACGAAGACTTTGGTGATTCTTTAGAACCTCCATAACAGCTTTAAAACCAATCTTCAAGTCAAATCTCTCTGGACGATTTGCATTCTCCCAGGCGTGTATTGTGAGAAGCTCCAGAAGATAGGAGGGTGGGACATGCTTACTACCAATCTGTGGAATATACGTCTTGCGCCAATACTTCACCAACCGAATCAGGTCTTTTACGAGTGCAGGCCGTTCCTTGACGAAGTCTTTTTGAATCATCACAAGGGCTGCGGAGTAGTATGGCCAGTTCTTTTTGTCCTCAAGCATTTTTCTGTAAAACCTTTCTCGCTCTAAGACAAAGAATATTGAATCTCTGTTTAGATGTAACATCATAAAAGTATTTTAACTAAACGCTGATAAGATTAAATCTCTCTTCAGATTCAAGATCATAAAAGATGTAATAAAATTTCATAAATCGTTTTTCAAGATTGCGCATGTCTTTAGCTTCACTGATGGGCAGTTGACCAACAACCCAAAACTTACTGTTTAGTAGCTTAATCTGCGCGCAAAGATTATGTATGTCTGTTGCACCTACGTATGAAATGGTGAGCCCCTGGTGAGAATGGAGGGCACTAATGCCTTCTCATGGGAATTTTATTTTCAGAGCTGTCCCCTGGGTAGGTATACTATTGGATTGTTGTGCAATTTAGGGTAGGGGAATTTGAAACTGTCGCCATGCATCTAGTAGCACCGACCGAATTTCACTTGGAGCGGCCATGTGGTCTTTGTCCAAAGAGCTTTGAGCACGTTAGCAAACTAGTAGAAGATATTAATGGCAAACAAAATAAAATAAAATCAAGATGTTGCACAAAACTTACGACCAGTCTTTTGTTTCAACAAAAAAACTGAAAACACTGAGATACAAAAAGAAGTGAAATGAACACAGAGTGGCGTGAGACATACAAGTGACGGCAAAAATTTGTATAATTACTTGACATTATGGAAAGAAAAAGAATTTAGAGTGGTATAAGAGAAGTAGTAGCGATGAAGATAAGCTCAGGAACAGAGGAACCAAACAATAAATCAAAACAAGATTGCAAGAGGTAATAAAGAAAAGAGATTGCCCTACTGGAAACACATGTTAATTGACCAAAAAAGGAAAAACAAAACAAATCTCTAGCTGATCGACATTCACTGTTTTATACATTTTGCTGACTTCAGTCAAAACCGGGTGAACAATTACATTTGTACATAGGGTAAAAAGCAGTTGTGCGATGAGTTAAGTTAGGTTGGGTTATGAACGTTGAGTTAACTGGGAATTTCTTCAAGGGGGCCTCCCATTCAAACAGCCGTGCACTAACTACTCTATGAGTAACTCAGCGTTTCAACTCTTGCGGTTACGTACGTACCATCGATGCCCGCTACGCTTGCTTCAAATGTGGGCAAAAGATCAACCTTAACAGACTCCCCAGGGTTGAAATAACGTGACATGTTAAACTGCAAGGAGAACCGCGTCCTCTTTATGGAAGTCAAACTCCAGGAGTCCCCTATACTGCTCCCCAAGCGTGACTCTAGCATATACAAGATGTCAGGTAGTTTGCTGCTCAACTGGGAAGCGTTTTCAATACCGTTCATGACCATCACGCAATCCAGGTCGGCGTTGTTTTTTAATGCAGTGCCTTTTGCAATCGATCCGCCCTAAAAAGACAAGGCGACATGTAGAATCTAATCATAGCACGTTTTATTATTGCTTTCGTGCTAAACTCACGACGACCGCGGCCCAAGATCTAGAAACCCCTCTGGATTAACAGACGGGACGCTAAGGCCAAAGTATCGGAGACGCTACTCGTAACTTTTGAGGATAAAAATCAGTGATTTGTTATTAAAGATACATCCCTGGTCATAATTGTTGAGAAACGCTTGCGAATTTCTTCTCCACTTCCCCTTCATGTTGATTTTGAAGACGTCTATGTCCAAGCAAACCCACGAAACATTATTGAGGGAAGGAGAGGTGAACCGATTCATGTATTCTTGGAACGACTTAGTTTATCTTGTACTTTCAAGAAGTGTTTTAACATGGCAGGAGTTGTGGCAGTCATTTCAATTCTACTATTTCCTAGCATTTTTCACTGTATTAAAAAACTATCGCCTTTTGAAATAACTGGCAGAGGCAAACATTTCAACTGCCGGATGGTTTTCCTGTGCTACACCCTTTTGAAATAAATCCAGTCTCTTCTAGGGCAGGAGCCGATTACCTGTCTTGGGATATTGTTGAAAATTAAAAACATCTTACAACGATAATTTAGCGCTAGTGGGGAGGGGCAGGGGGCGGTTTAGCAGTTACCTTGATCAAGTTATGAATTCCGTAGTTTGTATACTCCAAGCCTTTCTGAAGTTCTCGGTACAAGGAATCAATGGCATTATTTAAAAGACCATGAAATTCGCCATCTGGTTGGAGCTCATCGCTTACGAACTTATTTACTTCCAGGCTAGAGCGAGCTCGTTCAAAGATTCCTTTCTCTTCCTTCCTCATGGAAGGAAGGGAAAGGAACATGGGAACGAGGTGGAAGATGGAATTTTCTACACCTGCAATTCGAGAAACAATTTAAGACCGTGTTTACATGGAGTGGGGGACCCCGGTCTAGTGGGGTAAGTTTCTTTTGTTTTGTGTCCCCCAGAGCGTGAAAACAAAAGAAACCAACCCCACTAGACCGGGGTCTCCCACTCCAGGTAAACAGGCCCTAAGTCACTGTAGAACAGATAGACAGGACACCTTAACTACACCTTTAGCGCTAAATGATAAATCTATTTGTATTTTTTTTAATCGTAAGAAAATTGTGGTCCTGGGAATTGGTGCGGAAACACGAACCATTAAGCTTTTGATTTTTGCGTATTTAAATACATTTTCTTTGTTCTCTGTAGCCCATCACTCTGTCTCTGTTAGGTCTCTGTTAGATAAATTGATTTAGTTATGAAATGGTTTTCCAATTTGAACTTAAAGACAAGGTGGAATCGTCTGCGTAAATGTCCATAGTTTACTTGTGAAAGTGGAGAAGCATATCGTTGACGAACAAAAGGAAAAGTATCGGTCCTAGAAATGCGCCTTGAGGTACAATGCGCACATCGACGGAGAAAAGCTTCTATTTTCGCGGCAAAAGGGGTCTAAGAATAAACCGGTCCGTGAAAACGGCGTGACATAAGGCCTTGTATGGGCCACTTTGGAAAATACCATTACAGTGTCAAATTGCCGTTTGGGTAGAGCTTCATGTAAATCTGACGTTCACATTATCTTTTGTTCTTTGCACGAACTGCGAGTGCAATGGCCGATTTCCAAACTGAATGCAGTGGAGCCCGGTTAATACGGACATCAAGGGGACGTGCAATGGTGTCCGTATATATTATCCAGGTGTCCGTAAAGTCTCTTAAAGCAGGCAAAGAGGAAGAAGGGCAAGAACAATGACCGCAGCAAAAACCCAAGGAAGTGAAACTTGTGTAGTAGGAGGCAGTAAACTTTCAGAACTTTACTGACGGGTTACAGTACAAGGGTCAAACACAGAAAGAAAGACGGACTTAGATATTGCAAAACTGAAGTAGGGTTGACGCGAAGAAATACCCAAAGGGCACTTTGAGAATATTATGAATCAGTGATTGCTTCCGGCAATTCTACTTTTCGCTAATACCTGGAACTAGAAACTGAAAAACGTCATAAAAATCACCTTCTTGATTAGTGAAATGTACGCAAAAACGAAAAATACGATAACTTTTTTTCAACACTCGCCTTAACAAAACTTGAATTAAGTGCCCAAATTGTTTTTAGATGTGATAGACTATTTTTAGGATTTTTTTCGTCCATTGCTTAAGTCAATTTTTCTTATGTGATTGTTGTATTTCACTTATCACAAAAAAGGCAAAACGTGAAATTTCTTAAGTTTATTCAGTTTGTCGACATTTCAATTCAGTTTCCTCTGTTAATTCGGCCTCCTTGAATGACAGCAGTCAAAAAATGGTACCAAATGAAGTGCTTGTAATTTTGCTCAATCTGTTTCTGAGTTCTTTCAGGAATTGCTGGTTTTCAGTGTCACGCCATTCAAAATAGATCAAAATAAAAATCAAAACCATTCGACTGATAAAGTCCAGAATCTGGGAAATGAAAGGAGGTAAATATACAAAGACCCTCGTCAAGATTTGGGTCGAAGGAATAATTCGTATACGAGATATCCGAGGAAATGTTTTACCCAAATTTATAGAGCTTTGTATGGAGACGCCTAGTCTCCCTCGCAGCCGTTTTTAGTATCGTCACGCAACGCTACTCTCAACTAGGAGCGTTGCGTGACGATACTAAAAACGGCTGCGAGGGAGACTAGGAGACGCCATGCTGGAGCTCATCCGGATGAGCTCCAACATGGCGGACAGAAACCAACAGAAACATCTGTTACCGAGTTTTGCTACAAAAGCGTGAATTTACTCCTAGAGGAACTCACAAACATTAAAGTAATACTCTTTCTAATACTTGAACTGTTTAGATAGCAAAATTCCTCAAAAAAAGTCACTTTTTTAACCTAAATGACAGCTCTCTAGGCCGTCATGTAAATGCTGCGTCACGCAAAAGCTTAGAAATTCAAGCGTACTTTATCACAAAACCAAGAACCCTTTTGAAGCAAAAATTTGTTTGAAAATTAGTTTTCAGCTGCTCTAATACACCATGAAAGTAAAATGTCAGTAGGATCGATAGTTTCGTAGTTTGACTTTTAGTGACGTCATGTGAAAACCAACCATATAAACGTAAATCGATAAAAAGTCTCTAAATAATTTCAAACTTCGATGAAATCTCCACATAGCATTGACGATAATTTGTTAAATTTCGTATAAGGTTGTTATTAAGTATGCGTCGCATGTATATAGCTAGCATTCTTTTGGACTCCCACTAAGAAAGTATGGAATGCACATAACGCCGCGATTTTGGGTCCTCTGTCACTCGGAATCTGTTCATGCATGTTTTGACTATCAAGCACATTTAGCTTGTATGTTTTGTTTTATCGCTTCCAGTTTACTTTACAAATGTTGTAGCGTCAAAGCCTCGCTTTCGGTTAGAATTCGTCGCTCTAAACGCCTTCTCTTAAGCTTAATTCCTGGTTTAACTTTCATTTTCCCTTCATACCATACCCCAAAGACTTCGGGTATTAGCTCACGTATTGACGGTGTATGTAAAAGTTATATTTTTGATTAATATTACCTCTTCTCTGGTGCCACTTGCCAGGGTTTTTCAAATGATTGCCTACGTCAACTTGGCGTCGAAAAGTACGTGTTCGGGTACACGATTCGTATGAACAAGTGTATACTCCATAAAATGAATAATCACCATGTACTTTCATTTGATGATCAACACGGCCAATTTCTGTGTTAAAACGCTTTAAGCAGATTGTGCACTGATAAAGTTTTGATCCCCAATTCATAGTTAGCTTAAACTACGTGAGAACGTACGTTGTAGCTTGTTAAGTGAAAGTGACGCTTTTCTTTGCTGGTTTGTTTTATTTGCATTTTACATGTACATGCGCATAAGTGGCTTGACGAGGGAAATCCCCGACTTCGTCATGCATTGGTCATACCGAATATAACTCAAAGAACTGTTTGTTACTTCCTTGATCTTATAAACATCATGGCTGAAAAATTGCCCACTTTTTTGTGTACCATTTAAGAGTAATAATTTATTATATTTGTTTTATATTTTCCAGTTTAGGAGAGTACTTAAAAAGCATTGTTATCCTTTCAAAATATTTCCCCAATTCTGACTGGCACACCCATAACTCACCACAACCAGTTACTGATGACCAAATTTGGAAGAATTTTGTGTATAGCGAGGAAATGACGTCACAAATAGCTAAAAATGCAGCCTGCTACAGTTTAAGGCACCGTTACCGAGAAGACTTGGGGACGAGGTTGAGTTTTGAAAAAAGAAATGGCGGATATTTCACTCGTTTCAAGAGTAAGAACTACAGCTGAAACTAGGCGAAATAATAGCCAAAAATATGGCAAAAACAGCAAGAAGACAACTCGGAGGGCGACTTCTGCTATTTGGAGAATGTTTGCGGAGGTGGACAAACCTTAACGTACAATATCGTAAATTTTCTACGAGTTTGTTGGCACAATATTTCACCTTGACAAGAATTTTGAAAAGCATACAGGGTAGGGCCGGAGGTTGGGGGTACTCAACAAATGTTTATACGGGGAGGTTCCGCCCCGCAATCCAACCCCTTACCCTTTTATATACCATTTTTCACGAAAAAAGTAGCCTGAGAAAACAGACGACATTTCGCGACGCCACCAACGGTTTTCCCGCGAAATGACGTCTGAGAAACAAGCGCAGAAATTCCATACTGATGACGCGTCACTACTCAGATCTGGGTAGTGCTTCTGATTGGCTGAAACAAATTTCCCTAGTGAAATCCCTACCCTTTCGTACACCTGAAGCCTGAAAAAGATATCCCGTTCGGGCGGAGCCTCCCGGTATAGGCCATCATAGACTAGAGTAGACCATAGCTTTCAAACCAAATACAACAACTTCAGCACCAAATTAGTGATGTAAATCTAGCTAGATAATCATTTATTTCAATTTTCGTCAGAAAATTATGGCCCCTGCGGAATGGCGCAGAAACTGTGTTACGAAGCAAACAAAATGAAACTTCAATCCAATTCTTTTCGTAGCATTCGGTACTTCAATATTTTGCACCCTAATTTTTGGGAAATTGCTTTTCCACATCGACCACCAATTTCCGCACCTTGTCTGATCTCCTACCAAACAGTTTACTTCATTCGGCAATCAAAGGTTTTTAATGATTACTTGCTTAAAATTAAAATTATTATTCATCCAGTGGGGTTTGAGGTTTCAACTGATAAAGGGAATTTTACAAGTTCAAGAAGTACTAAGGTAGTATCTAGCTAAGAACGCTAACAGAAAGAAAAATACGCAAAATATGCGCCGACTTTTCTTCTTCGTATTAGCCTGCGAGCAAACTCTCTGAGACGCTCTGGTGGCAGGGGGCCAAAAGAAAGAGCGAAGAGCTTGCTCGCAGGCTATTTTCGTACTAACACTGGGGTAAGGCGTTTTTGAACGACGGGCACTAACCGGAACCGGAAATGAGGCCTTTTCCCTTTTGGTATGCATTGACGCTACAACATTTGTAATGCTAATTGTATACAACTTGCCCACAGATAGGAGGGGAGACTGGTCATGAGAGCCGGCAAGCTTCAGAAGTAAGACGACAGCGGCGCTGCAGTTTATGTTGGAAGCTCTACACGGCGCCAATCCTTTGTTTACTGTTCACAAATAGTGAGCCTCTCTTTTGCTGCCTGCGGACCTCGTTTTCGTCATGCGTTTTTCATCAATTCGGCGATTTCCTCATAAATACCCATACAGAGTGTTTATAATTTTTAGGCAGGGTTAAACACTGAATCAATAATAGTCAGCATTCAGGGATTCTTTTTTGTTTAACTTACTCATTGACCTACCATGCCGTACCATTAGGACTCCACTGTACAAATAAACGTTTATGTAAAAGTTTTATAATTATTTTTAATATTATACCTTCATGCCAGTTGCCTGGGTTGTCCAAATGTTGCTCTAGGGCGCGGGGGGTAAACTCGTACTGAGATTGAAATTTGCGTTTACAAAATGGATGTGGACAAGATATATCACCTGAAACGCGAAAAAAAAATTAAAATACTTAAATTCGTTATGAATTTTTCAGTTCATTTGCCTAATACCTCACCTTGACAAGAACTTTTAACAGCATTCAGGTAGACCTTGGCTAGCAAATAGACCACCATGACAGGATTGGATTTCCAAATTCAACTACAACTTCAGCGCCAAATGCAATAACTCTGGAAAATTATACTCCCTCAGTTCAAACCCCCGCCCCCTTCCCCTCGTGGAGTGGTGCGGGGCAGTGTGTTACAGGGCAGGCTAAATAAAAACCGCTTAAAGAAACCTTCAATCCAGTTGTATCCTTACAGGGAAATAAACCAGCATAACAAGAAAGCCTCTGTCTAATATGGAAATTCAATATAATCCCCACGCAGCAAATATCTTTCCATGGAAGTGAATACCATAAGTTTATTGACGATTATGTCATTTTATTCAAGCCCATAATACATCGCTTGGCTTGTGTTAAACCCAGTGATTTAGCTAGATTCCGTAGTACAACATTTTGCTCGACCATCATTGTAAAACAAAATGAAAGAAATTTAAACCGTTTGGTTGAATGATCTACCAACCCTCCCCTCCCCCACCTGATTTAAATGGCAACCAAACAATTACGTTATTCGTAGGAAGTAATTTAAATTACTTTCAGTTTCGTGTTTTCATCCAGTGGGACTTGTGGTTTTTTAACTGATACAAGGCGTTAAACTAATTTACAAGACACCAAGGTACCAAAGTATAGAATATATATCTGGGAGTAGAGAAAGATATGCAAAATATGCAACTTTTCTTCTTCGGAAATTAAGTAAGGCAAGCTAAGGCGTTTTTAAACGACGGACGCTAACAAGAAGTGAGGCCCATTAAAATGTGCCTTGACGCCTCGATTTGTTAAGTGCCCTTACTCTTAGAAAGACGATTTGAGCAAAAACACTGCTCAAGAATGCAAAAAGTCCACTTCCAGATAGCGTCTGTCGCTCAAACGCTTTTGCTTAAGCTCATGTCTATGCATTAAAGCTTACTGAAGTTTACTTATAATCTAATAGTTACTACTTATAATCTATCAGTTCCTAAAATAATAAACCACTGCATCACGCAGTCGGCAGCCTGAGCAGCCCAATGAACCCCCACTATATTGGATCTTGTTCTAGTATCATTGATTGATATTACCTCTCATTTTCTGATGCTTCTTGTTTGTTGAGCGTTCCATATGATTCTTTAAGGCATTATCTGTCGCATACCGCTTCCGACAAGCAGGACACTAATAGGGTTTCAACTTCGAATTCATAACTGGTTCACCACAGTGTACGGCTCTTTAATGATCAGCACGACCATTATCTGTCTTAAACCGCTTCGAGCAATCTGTGCACTGAAAATGTTTCATAGCGGAAATCACAACTAACTCATTACCTGAGTGCGAAGCGTCTCAACTAAAAGCGAAACTCAACTTTCCTGGTTTGTTTTATTTTTGAGAGGGAAATCCCCGACTTCGTCATACACGTCATACAATGCCATCCCCAAACAAAACTCACAAAATTAAAAAAAAATTAGGCTGAAAAAAATGCCAGTTTGTAGCGAGTACTATAGAGAGGGTAATAATTTGCCCTAAAAAGTACTAATTAGTCGAACTAACCCACTGCTGTATTTTTAAAAATTCGAGTTTATTATTGTTTGTTTTCAGATGACGTCAATTTGGCCGCGCTGGTGGCCAAGAACAAAAGTGTTTACTTCTTTAGTGTTGCGAACCAAACACTCTCTTAATGCAAATTTCGCGAAAAAAAATTTTTTGGGGTGGTGGAAAACAAGCAGCAATATCGTGGCCTCGTCATACACTCGGGCCATACCGAATATCTAAATACCTTACTAAATTGTTTATTACTTCCAGAAAACATATAAAGTTTAATATGCCTAATTGCCAGTATTGGAGATTTAAAAAGCAGTAATTTATACCATTTACTTTGAATACTAGAGTTAACCCACCGTTGTATTTTTAAATTCGACCTTATGATTAGGGGGGTTCCCCACCGTACCTTGCGGTTTCTTTCCTGTTTTAGTCAGAAATTATTAATGAGGGGGTGTCCCCGAATGAATTTCCTTTTTAACAGCATATGGCATCAACATTTCTATTTCAATGGTAAACAACTTATAGAAAGTACTTGCCATCTGAAAAATCTACTATGAGTTATTTATGCAATAGACCACACTTTCTATGGGTTTACCGGTGTGATAACACACGCGGGATGTTGGGAGTTCACGAGAAAAGCTTGTAAATTAATATTATGTAAATCACGAGTCGAAGGCGAGTGATTTACGAGCTTTTCGAGTGTCCTCCCAACATCCCAAGTGGGTTATCACGCCGGTAAAACCCATGGAAAGTGTGGTCTATTACTTTTATAAAATAGCTTTAAGTTTTCTATGGGTTTACCCGCACAATAAACCATAGGGTTTTTATCCAATCAGAACGCGTGTACTATCTTCGTTATTTTATAAATTTTATCATGTGTCCTCACAGGTAGCCCAAGCTCACTATGAGAGCCCTGAACAACATTATCCTACTTAGCTAATTAATTATTCATACAGCAAGAAAATTATAAGACGTTGTATGGAGAAATATTCTTTGCTCACTAAATTAGCAAAATGTACATTGAATATCACTTTGAAGCTTACCTTTAGCGTCTTCTTGTTTTTCTTTGTATTCTGACTGCATTTCAGACCTCCTAGGCACTGTTTAAGGCCTTTTTTTGAGCGACAGTTTTTCACCCAGATGACAGTAGAGACAAGAGAAGAGAAGGTTGGCAAACCTCTCTTGACCGGCTCCGCTCTCGGCGGCGATAAATTCCGTGACATTTGCGACATGGAGACAATTCCGCCAGAAACAGATGTCCTGATAAATAACGCACATTTTCCATCATTCACATCGCCAAAATTCCCATTTCGAAGGTCCTAAATCGCCAACGAAGTGAGCAAAACACGACTGAGGTGAGGCGAGTCGAGAGCAGACCCCCAACCGTCACGTCGACAATTCAAACCGTCGCGGGCTGGCAGGGTCAAATTGTTCAACCGTCAAAGGACAATTGGAGCATTTAGCCTACTGGGCACAGTAACTGATTTTTCACTTCTCACATTGCACTCCGGAGTCGCGAAAGTCAAGCATCGCGTGTGATAATGACATGTAATATCAAAACATGTCGCGTTGTTAATGTTTTGATCTCTACCCTTCTTTTTAAAAAGCGTTTGACAATGGTTTTTTATGTATGATTTAGAAAAAAATTTTGCAATAAGAATTACTACGGCTGTAAACAGTTGTTAGCTATTTTTCCTCCCCTTTTTCAACAAGTGGCAGTAGGTAGCAAGTTTGGGGACAGGATGAAAACATTAACAACGCGACATGTTTTGATATTACATGCCACTATCACACGCGATGCTTGACTTCCGCGACCCCGGAGTGCAATGTGAGAAGTAAAAAATCAGTTACTGTGCCCAGTAGGCTAAATGCTCCAATTGTCCATTGACGGTTGAACAATTTGACCCTGCCAGCCCGCGACGGTTTGAATTGTCGACGTGACGGTTGGAGTCCGTTGCGGGTCTGCTCTCGACTCGCCTCACCTCAGCCGTGTATTGCCCATTTCGTTGGCGATTTAGGACCTTCGAAATGGGAATTTTGGCGATGTGAATGATGGAAAATGTGCGTTATTTATCAGGACATCTGTTTCTGGCGGAATTGTCTCCATGTCGCAAATGTCACGGAATTTATCGCCGCCGAGAGCGGAGCCGGTCAAGAGAGGTTTGCCAACCTTCTCTTCTCTTGTCTCTACTGTCATCTGGGTGAAAAACTGTCGCTCAAAAAAAGGCCTTAAACAGTGCCTAGGAGGTCTGAAATGCAGTCAGAATACAAAGAAAGACAAGAAGACGCTAAAGGTAAGCTTCAAAGCGATATTCAATGTACATTTTGCTAATTTAGTGAGCAAAGAATATTTCTCCATACAACGTCTTATAATTTTCTTGCTGTATGAATAATTAATTAGCTAAGTAGGATAATGTTGTTCAGGGCTCTCATAGTGAGCTTGGGCTACCTGTGGTGTCCTGCGTCATAAAACATATTGATGTGATTTGATTCCTGAGCATGCGCCCACTCGCGTAAGCACTGGGGTCGAGATTGGAATTCTTCATTCTTTCCAGCCCCTCTCATTCTCGTGCCCTCTACCCAGAGTCCTCCGGTTTTTGGCGTTGACCCGCTGACCAAAAAACCAGAAGACTAGGTACGAGATTGGCTTATCTCAGGCATTTCTCAGTGAAGCAGTCAGTTCGGTGTTTAATTACATTGCCATTCAATACATTACAGGCTTGCAAAGTAAAACCTGCGTGAAATTAAACTGGTGAAGAGTTAAAATGTAACGTAAGAAAGATTTCATGAGTTTAATAGGTAGTATACATTAAAGTGAACTTACAGCTGAACTTATATTAAAAGTAATGGAACGATATGAAAGCATAAGGTATAATAAGTATACAAGTGGTACAGTGGGATGAAATATACAAACTGCCGTTCAGAACTATTTGCAGGAGTGTTATTTTAGCAACGCCGAAACGAGCAAAGTATAACATAGCAAAGGTAACGTACTGTAATAAAGAAGACGCGCAACTATTTTGTCTAGTCCAAATTTGTTTTCTTTGACTTTCTTGACCATTTCTAAAAAATAAGTTCGTTGCTTGTTTAGAAAAAAGGAAACTGCGATAGAATATTATTTATTGTAACTTAAAATTGTAGTTTTCCTTCCTTTTCCTTTCAATTTATTTTTCTTTTAACTGGTCCGCCTAGATTAGCAATTGCTATTTTGCGGGCCAGTCTATTGTAACCAATAGTCTTATGAAATAAACTTGAAGTTGAAGTTGAAGTTGAAGGTAATTGATATCTTTTGAACCTACCTTGTTTTTCTGATG